TTTGAAATATTCGAAACATTTCTTCTATCTCTGTGTCCCGGATTATACAGACTTATATATTTTGTACACACATGCAGTTTGGACACGTGCTGTTTTCTAAAAACGAAGCCTCGACTCATACGTACTTGTTAACAACAAGTAAGCACCTGTTTGCATCTGGGTTCGTGGCTGGTGTCGCGATTAATTTAAGCAAAGCACTGTTCATTTCAATGTGTTTGCCTGTTGTTTTGTTCGCAGCCAGCGGCAGCCAGCTGTGAATGAAAACAAAAGTTATTTTTTTAAACACACATTACTTGTGCCTGCCAAGAATCATGTACTGTACTGTAAGGGAACTGTTGCATACTGAAATACGTCTGAGAGGTTGTTTTGGTGAGCGGCTGGCGGCATGGAAGGTGAAAAGACAGTTGCGGGGTCGTTGAGGTTTAGAAGTTTAGGCACAGCAACTGGTACGTGCTTTCCTTATTCACAGCAGGCGCTGCGATGGCCGTAAGAAATAACAACGATTTTAATTGAATTGTTTCCAGGGGCCTGGCTGGAATTGTTTCCAGGGGCCTGGCTGGGAAGTTCTATTTGCTTTGAGAAGTTCTGGACTGGACCCGAGTCGGCCCAAACAAACGGTACGCTTTCCAATGTAACATCCTATGTTTTTCCTCCAGTAGTTGGCTCTCTTTTTTGTACAACAATGTTGAGCACTCATGAAGTTAACGCAAGTGGAACAGGCATTGGGAACCTCAGAGCCAGAGCGGAAAAAACATCTTCATGTTGTGGTGTTTGTGCCTTCAGTTTGATACAGAGAAACCTTACAAAAATAGGCATTGACGGAATTGCTCCTCCTAACCTTGGCAACAAACATCAACAAGCCCATACTCGACACATGTGGCTTAAACCATTCAGTGGCAGATGATAATGACCGTTCATCAGCCCAATGTCTCAATTGTTGCTACCAGGTGTCGGCTTACTGGTTGCTTTGTGCAGCAGCGGCGAATGCACTGGGCGCCTGGCTGTTCATCTCTGCATCTAACCATGCCATGCTGAACGTGCTTTCCTCAATGTTTTTGGCCTTGCTGAATATAAAAGCCGATGCCTTCTCTACGAGGACCGGAGTCATGCTTTTGAGTTTGAGATATTCAGCCACACAGCCGCAGAAGATCGCAGAAGTATACAAAAAGATCAGATTTTGCATCGGGGGTAGGGAACCTAACAAACCAATTCTGCACTTCTTCGGGACGGTGAACTGCAACTGATTGAACGATGAACTTGCCGAACTTATCGCCTGCATCGCCTGCGGCCTGGCAGGATGTTTTCAGAAGTTTGGAGCCGTTTGGTGGGTGACACCCGTGCATTGCAAGGTGTGCTGGAGTCCTGCAACTTTGCAGCAACACTTAGGGATAGATGTAGGGCATGCAGGCATGCATGATGAGAGAGTCATCCTGGCTGTGGGATGCTGTGGGCAGATCCCGAGGTAGTGAACTCACCATTGAAGCTCTTACTGCTATTGGTGCTTTTTTTGTCCTGTCCTCGTCCGTGGAACCTTCTTGTGATTCAGCCATTTGGGGAACTCTTTTGCAGCTGGGTGTGCAAGCATCAAAGCTTTGCTATGTTCGGCCCCATGTTGTCCACAAAGTTTGGATCGCGCAAGTCCTTCAAGTGTTCATGAGAAGCAAGGTTGGTACTTTCAACTGGCGTTAGCATGGTGGCAATATCATTACTTGCTGGCTTTTCGCTCAGACATGCGTCTCGAATGTCTAGAAGCATGATCGGTTCCTGGGACACAGTTCGCACATGTTCGATGTGTTTCGCGGATGATCTATACATACGGTAGCATACGGTTAAGTTGGATGATCTTGGGTTGCATACGGTTGAAGGATGGCTTTCTTGCAGCGTTGTTGCATTTTGTTGCTACATTTGTCGTAGGAGGCTGCCAGTCGAGGATACTTGTACTCTTATATGTTCACGAGCCTCAGCAACTTCTTTGAGACCAAGTTTATCCCTGAGCTATTTGCTTCCACGACCGCTGCATATGAAACAATCCAGGGTGCGAGCCTGGAACAACGAAAGAGGCTCCTGTTAATACATCAGGCGGCTGGGCAGCTGGGACGGGTCCATCATGGATCGGGCCCTTAAACCTAGACTTTGTTTTCCAAGGGCCAGCAACGAGTGGCCATCACCAACGAGTGGCCATCACCAATGGTTCAAACTACTATGTCAGATTATCTGTGTGTTTGGCCTTTTGCCACAACCCCCGTGCAAGGTCGTTTCAATTTTCTTACGCGTCACTGAATTTGCTGCTCTCACGCAAGCCTTATATCGCATTGTCCACTCCAGCACCGACACCAGCTGTGCTTTGGCATTGTGCCTGCGGGCCTGATGAAGTTCGTGGGACGTTGGTAGAGTTGATTGCTTATTCAAAGCCACACACTGACTGCACTAGTTTATTCCAGTACAACAATTAGAGACAATATTAGAAGTTGGCCCGACCCTTGTTTAGAACGGAGGGGGAGACATCGAGGGGGTCTGGGCTCCTGCTAGGTCTTCGCAGGAAGCCAGTGCGGGGCTCATAGTACTATAACTATAGTGATAACTAGTGTGTTGCGATGTGTTTTCAGGTCTGGGAGCCTGGAGAAACACAACACACAGCCACAGGAAGGATTCAAACACTTGCCCCAGGTTTGCACAGCTATTCTATTGAAGCTATGTCCATTCCCATCCTTCTGAGTGCACTTCGTCGAGCTAGCGAAGCATTGCTGCAGCTTTTCGCATCTGTTGGTCGCTTGGCTGGTGGGATTTGTGGGGTGAAAACATCCTCGCAATCCCCGTGCACATTTCCTCTAAGAAATCCATCAACCCGGGTTGGCTGAATAATTCAAGCAGGTGAAATCAGCAAACTGATCAGGGTGCACGGGACCAATCTCAACCCGGCGGGTTCCTTTTCTTTAACGACAGGCGCCTTCATTCTATTGTATGGTTGTGCCATATTTAAAAAATCCGACAGCATTTCCGACATATGTCACAGTTGAACTGCAATCAAAGGCTCAACACACAGATGCAGATGTTATCCCATGCAAGTCGAATTCCACTCGAGCCCGGACGTTTACATGTGTTGTCCTAATGTTTATATCATAGGTTTGAACATCCAGAGGTTTTGATTTTCTTGTTGCCTTTGTGCACCGTGAGCCTGGGTTTGTCTGAACAAGCCAAACGTCGGGTTTTGACAATTTGAGGCCAATTTCGAAGGAGGATTTGTTGCATACTTCTGCTAGAATGCTTATGAATGTTTGATAATGTTTGTGAATTCCTTGTGCTTAGTGCCTTAGAGCCACATGCATTTTTGGCTACGTGCTTTGTTTCAGCTGATGTTCACCAACTGCTCGCCAACAAGCAGCAGAGAGTTGAAGAGCGCACGTGAGGATCGTTGGAGCGCTTATTCCTGCTCTCCCGGGCCCTATTGCGATACTCGACACCTCGTTTTGATGGCATCAACCGAATTGCTTCAGATCGCATCATGGTGGAAATCCCCCACAGCTTCACAGTCTCTTTGGGTTCGCCGCAGCCTCTCAGATCAAAGACGTTTTGACATTTGCTTGTATGACTCCATGACCATGAATATTCTCACATGCGTGTGCGCGTGGTACATAATACATAGCCTGGCTATCGCTTTGCCTTCCTCAGGACTGTAGACAATCCGACTGCTTGAGCCTCCACCCCAAATATTGGGGCAGCCGGAGGTGGCAACCTAGACCAGTGCAAAACTCATGAGTTTTCTTGACTCTTGACGATTCAATTTCGGGGAGCATGGGATCAAATGGGACCTTGAGAGAATAGCCGCGGCAGCCTCATTAACCACAGACATGCCGGAGCCCCCGGTGAATTGGCCCAGGTTCGGCCCCTTTGCTCAAATTCCACCCCTTGCTTCTGTGAAGCCGGGCTCCCTGAACGCCTGGGCGATGCCTCGCGGCTCTGGGGCGACGACCTTGGCGAAGATCTTCCTCCGCATTGTCGATGCGCCGGCACGGGTGAAGATCGATGGGGAACATGTGGAGCAATATGAGCAGGACCTCAGTTTCCATTTTTTGTTTCGTCTCGGCCGATTGATGCGATCCCTTTCCGAATGAAGGGCTCAATCCGCAGGGGTGGCATGGGTGTGGATGCAGCAACCCGAAGCCAGGAAACATTTCTTGTAGGATATTACTGTAGTATTAGCATTTGCATGCATTTGCTGGAGCAAACATCTCATTATTATTGGAGAACAACAGCCATGCTCTCTTGCAGGAGACCTTGAACTTTGCCATTCATGTTATTGATCATGCGCCGCTTCCCTCCAGCGTTGCCAGAACCCCTGGACAAGGCCACACTCTTGCAGAATATGCTCCTTGATTGGCCACAAACAAGCTCACTCTTCCCTTCTAACCGGTGCTTGACGAGGGGAGAGTGGTGGAGAGTTGAACGTTTTTAGCAGTCCTTTATAGTCCTTTGCTGTGAGCTTCTCAGTGAGGTAACAAGGACAGGCCACCAGAGTTCTTACTGATCCCCCTTGGTTGCGCCATACTGAAATCCTAGGGGTAGACCACCAGATTTCAGAAACAGAAAAAAGTTCAGAAAAAACTCTAGAAAAAGGAAATCAGGTAGGGCCCCAGGAAATTAACAGCAGAAATAAGTTTTGTTGAAATCCTTTTGCTGAAGGTTAGGAGCCAGGATTCCAAAAATATGTTAGACTATAGGATTTTGCTGAAGCTGTAGGATTTCAGAAGGTCGAGATACTGGGGTTGGGCTAGGATTTTAGAGATACTGGAGAGGATCTTGTATCCATCGAAAAAAGATGTCCAGGGGGGGATTCGAACCACAACGTCACCGAATCGCCTAGTGGTACGTCGCTCGAATTTTTCCCAAAATTTCATTGTTTCGGAAGGCACGAAACCTCCAACTTTCTAAGAAATGTCGTTGTAAAACCTCTGATTTCCGGAAGAATTTGGGGAACGTTTTGGGTCTTCTGTCATTTTGATTTTCTCTTGCCTTTGTACCGAAGCCCGGCGCACAATTTTAAACGGTCACGTAGGGGGTTTTGTGTTATGTAATAAATATGCTCGCCGCTTGAGTGCGTTTGGGAGGGCACTGGAGGGACCAGCCAAGGTTTGGGAGGGCACTGGAGGGACCAGCTAAGGTAGATACCCAGCATTTGCTTATATATAAGCATTTGATCTGCCCGGACTCCTTGTTTTTTCCTTGGTTCCCAACCCCTTGACACACATTGGCCCAAAGGATTTTATAACAAGCACCTCTCGGGAAAAAAACCTAGGGCACCACTGAAAAACTAGAAAGTCACCTTGGTTCGGTAGGATTTTAATATGTAAAATCCTGGGGATCTACCTTAGCTGTCGGTACCAAGGCTTGGGATCTTACTGCACATGCTTGCCCCTCAGGAGTTTTTCATAGTGTTTCTATGCGGCCTGAGGTTCAGCTTGATTTGGAGGATGTTGGCACACCATTAGATGCATGCTTGCATCAAGCAGGGATTTGGGATCAGGTTGCAAATATCCCACATGGCACCTTAGCTTGATCGAGGCAACATATTCCGCTAAATGTGCAGTTGATTTGCGTGTCTCGTTTTGGCACCCTCGCAGACAAGTCGCCCACACACCATTGACTATTGATGCATGCGGGTACTACTGCACATTACAAATAGTCACCTCATGTGCTCACCGGGAGAGCATTTTGCTTTTTGGGCAAGACAGAGTAACACCCAGGCATTGAATGTACAGAGTGGAGCTCTTACATGACAAAGCCTGAAGCCTTTCGCGTCCAGTTGGCTCGCGCTATCTTCCGCGCTTCGTTGGGAACCATCCGGATGCTAATGGTGCTGGACCCGTCACTTGTCATTTGTTTAATTTTTGGACTTGCAGCCCAAAAAGTGTGAAAGCCATACAAGTTTACTATAGAGCTTCTCATCTTCTCAGTTCGACTTGTGTCCTGAGCTTGGAGCCTGGAGCCATGTTGACCCATGTTGAGCCCAAGCATCCAAAGATCCAGGCTGCGACATTGCAACGCTTCGGAAATTGATGAAACGAGGCACGCATGGGCGCGCTCAGGTCCAGCAAGTGAAGCAAGTCTACTGACATAGGCCCCCCTGATGCCTGAGAAGACTTGAGACGGGCAGAAAGAAGTGAACAAATGATGGGACCTTTGTCATGTCCCCCAGCCCTTGTCGCGCCCTTTTTCCTACATCATGAGCCATGACCTTTCCTTCTCAGGCGTTCGTGGATTCAAGCCCTTCGCCCACTGATGAAAGACACCCTGGTGCTGATCATAGACCAGACATCAGATCCGCGCAAATGGGCTGACTAGTGATTGCAGCCACTGTAACAGAAATACCTCTTCAAATAAATCGCATTAATAAATTTGAATAACGAAAATTGAAATTCTGTCTCACCCTCAGGGCATCCTCACAGCAATGCTGTTTGGAGGCAAGCAGCAGCCGCTTCCAGAGTGTATAGAACTGGCACCGTGTGAGGATTTTTGTCTTGCAGCTTGACACAGCTGCCTGTCGGAGCATTTCGCAGCATCGATTGAACAAACTTTGCGAACATGTGTCCCGGCCCATTGGACCATTGCAATAAGCACAACAAACACACTAAAGTGTTGGCCGTACAGCATGGCCATGCATGGCCTATGCGGATGCAGACGGTTCTGGAGCCTGACGCCAATTTGAGATGTGTGCGGAGGACTTGTAGTCCACAGCTATTTCATGTTGACGATTCTTTTTTCGCTGAGGAGCTCACACAGAGGCTAATGGGCCTAGGTGGTGGTGAATTCGGCCAGGCCGGAATGGGAAGAGGTTTCAAGTCAAAAATCAGCGTGGCGTGTGCTGTTTATGTGGGGCTCATTATATAAGCGCCATGAGACCAAACCATTGATACAGTTGTGCCACCTGTCAGCCGTTGACACTGTGGCAACATCGAATAAAACATGAACTTAGATGTGGTGCAGTCGTTGCCGCAATCGCCATATTCACTTCGAGATCTTCAAGAATTCTTGTAGTTTTTAGCCTTATTCATATTTATTATTCATTTGTATTAACCATTCCCTGCCAGGCCCCGAACGACTTGGTTTGGGCGATTCGGAGCGAACCATCAGAAGGACAAGAGCACTGGGATGAAGGACGTGTGGTTGGGAGGCTAAGGCTAAGGTGACCAGGGAGCTTCATCCCATCTCACACCTCAGACAAATCCTATGTGTTTTTTTGGGGTACCCCTTGCAAAGCCACTGCCCAAATTGCGGCAGAAGACAAACCACATGTTTCATTATTTTTCTATATGTTTTCATCAGTTGACCCCAGTACTAAGTACAATATATATATATACACATATATATATATATCAGTTTTGTGGGAAGATTGTGTCATACCTGCGCCTGTTGACAGTTGCGGGGCCTTGAACATCCGGGCGTCTTTGAGGTGCAACCTCCCAAGCGCTTTTTGGAAAGCTTCAGCCGGCCATTGCCTCCTCCGCCTGCCTGGGACTTTCTGGCTGACAACGCGTGTTTTGGGTTTGGACACTTGCAGGTGTTAGGCTAGTCATGGCTATTTCGGTCGGACATGAGTCCAGAGAAGCAGGCGCTTCTCGGACGGGACTACAAATCTGTGTTGTGAAAAACAGAATTTCCATGCGTCTCTATATGTTTATAGCTTATATATTATAAGCACAGGGCATCGCTACTAGCAACAAGGGCATCGCTACTGGTAGCAAGGACGCTATTAGTAGCTCCTGGCATCACTACTAGGAACAAAGACGCTGCAATAATACGCAATATTGTATATCGTTATTGACTAGGATCTCCAGAACTCCATGACTTGGCAGACCTAACTTATGTAAGTGCTTGGATATGTCATGATTCTAAATTGATCTAATTGGATGCTCCCGCCCCCAGTATGCCAAATCCTTTCGACTGAGGGCCTTGCTGCAGCAACTCTGGCAACAGGCACAATGGAGAGGGTTCCTGACTTGATTCTCCATAAGTGGCCAGTCAGTGCATCAACCTTGCGTCAAGGATCCAACCACAACTGCTGTCAATGGTGGTAGCAAGCAGTATATATAGAGTGTATGTCTTCCAAACTATGGCTGAGAGTGTTTGGCAGCTCTTGCAGGTGTTTGGAGTTCCTTTGAGGTAAGTTTGGATGCAAGGAAGTCTTTAGAAATCTTTAGAATTTAGAAGTACCATTGCAGGGCATATAGCCGGCATAGCAGTCTACTTCGACCTGACAGGCCGACGTGCAGCGGCAGACGTGGAATCCCCAGTCACCTTCAACGATCTGAGGCACCAACTAAGATGATTAAAATCGTAGAGATATGAGTTAATAAGCAAAGGATGTGATAATAGTGCCGTTTGCTGTGGGAATGGACGATCGATATACTGTATGTTCCTCTCTTTTTGCGTGCTTTTTGGAATGCCTCATATGCAATGATTGCTGGTCACTACGATACGTCTTTTTGGGGGGCCCACCTTTTTGTGTACCGGTGTGCCAGTCGCCGCGAACATTGATAAAGCAACACTCCGAATTTCCCATGCACCTTCTCAATTTAGTGTTATATTGGCTGCTCTTAAGTAGCCTTTGGGGCCTTGGGACGCTGGTTGCAGCTTTGCAACACGGATGCTGATTTAAGAGGTCGGAGAATATGCAAACGTACCTAATTATGCTTTCTCACAGGAAGAAAGATGCTAACAGTTTCCCTTTGATCACTTTGAAGTAGCATTCTTGATTGAGGCCGATGAGTCGCCAGGCAAATGCCTAAGCATTTGAGCATTTGGGTAATTCTGCTTTTGATTGACAGGATTCGGAATTGAACACGCTTTTGCTAGGAGTTTGCGGTGTGATTAGCTAAACAATAGGACATAAAACATAGGATACATACCTGTTGAAAGGTTCGTTTGCCATTTCAGATTCTGGAGCTGCAAAAGCTGTACAAAACATACTTGAGGTGATGCTGCTGGATCAAGTGGGGGCACTGAGATTAGATAGGGTCGTCAATCGTCCCCAGATTATCCCTTCTTTTTCATTGCTGAAAGTGCCTTTCGTCACTGGCTAGAGCAACCAAACTTCATCGACTCCTAAGTGATAGACTGTTTGCAGAGATGAGGGGCCTCTTTTTAAAAAGCGAACCGTGAAAACGCAATGCTGATCAGGTGCTCCTACTGAAGCTGTAGCCACAGAAGCTCCTCCAGAGGCATGCGATTTGCGTCAGCTGCATTCGTTGTGTCTTGTGTTATTGGATGAGTAGAAGACTGCAGTGACGTGGCCAGATAATACCCCAAATGTTCAACTGGTGTTTGTTTTGGCCGTGTTTGCCGAAAAGGTTCACGTTTCAAGTTCTGGGTGCAGACCCACTGTGGGTAACACAGGCTGCTTCAGCTGAAGCAGCGACGGAGACCACCAAAGAGGCGCTTTTTTTGGAGGATGTGCAGATTGACACGGCAAGTTTGGATGAGAAAAGTGAAAGTTTTGTCGCGGAGCTTTTCTCAGAGCCCTCTTTTGCACCATCGTCGGCTTGGCCCCACCTTCTCAGCGTCGTAACCTTTCAAAGTTTAGCGTCCAAAGAAGCTTGGTGTCAACATCCACACTTTTGCAAGGGGCATTTCCTCATCTCTTGGAGAGATGGCCAAGCTCCAAGTTGGGCAGGGTACTTAGATCTGACAATTCTGCTTTTGGTTTAAGTTAAACTCAGATTTGGACTGCTCGGCCCTCATGTTTTGTGCAGTTAAACGCTCTTAAAGCCTTCAAAAACAACCTGCAAGAAGCTGCACAAGACAGTCTTGATGTGACTCTCATTGTGGGAAGCATCTTCCCAGGTTCACCCTCAACATGTGTGGCGAATTGCGGATGAAGATGTCACTCACTCAGCAAGCAAGCATGCAACGATTCTTGCCCCTCAATCGTCCGCTCACTTGATGCCCGACGCCAGATGTGTGGTAGTGGTGCTTTCAAACCAGCACTCTGACAACCCCCATCGTTTGCCATCATAGGTTTGGTAGAAGTGCAGTGCAGGTGAAACAGTTACATACAGTTTCATACACTTTCAAGTGGTGTTCCCTGCCTTGACCATCAACTTCTGCACGAGGTGGTAATGGCCACCGCGGGCCTGTTCCTGGAATTGGCCAAGGGCTCTGCCTGTGAAAGCTCCAAGTTGTGAGAGCCTCAAGGGTCAGCATGGCATGGTCAGCGGAGCGGAGCTATTCTTCCAGTCGCTACAGGGGGGTGGGAAAGAGGGTAGGCATCGCTACTAGTAACAAGGGCATCGCTACTAGTAGCTCCTGGCATCGCTACTAGTAACAAGAAACTACTACTAACAAGGCACCTTAGAGGTAGCAGGTGGGGGAGAGGTCAAGACGGTGGAGATGCGAGAAAGGCCAACCGACCTCAGGATTACCTCAGGCCTTTGCGGGTTCTATGTGTGCAGTTGACCAACGTAACGATCGTAACGACATTCTGATTGATGAATGACGCTGGAATGCTGCGGCGCAGGACAAAACTCTTGCAGCAAGGTGCAGACCTCTTGGTTTTGACCTTGGATTGATAATCTGCGCGTTTTCTTTTTTGGAGGATGTATCATATGCGTTCGCCGGCCTGAGCAGTGCCTTGACCTGAGTGAGAAACAAGACTGCGAGGCCGTGAATGGCGAAGGGTGCCCTGCACTTTTGCTGGGTGTTCGTGCAGAGGCTTGTGGCAGCGCGCAGATTCACACTTATATTTACTGTAGTAAAAATTTATGGTGTCGTATAAGCAATTTCTGTCAATATAACAAAACTATAAATATGCATATAATATGCACAGGTATCTACACAGTGTATGTATATGACATGATGTTATGTATGGTTCCCTCTCCCGACAGAAGAGGCTGTTGCATCATTTGCCCTCTTCCAAAAGGTGGCATCGTTGGACGGAGCTGCTGGCATTCCACAGCCACATGAGTCTGAGATTTGCTGCACTTAGCACCTGTATCCTGCACCTTTGCTAGGCACCGGTTGAGGCCCTCACTGCGGTTTCCTCAGCTCGAGCTAGCAGGGTTTGCAGCCACAAATGTAGAAATATATTCTGCCAGCTGCAGAGAGAGGGAGAGAGACAGAGAGAGAGAGAGAGAGCAGAAGTCAAGCCCTGAATAGCACATAGTGGCACTGTGTTCGCATTTGATGAGGGTCAATTCGAGGAGCTTCTTACCACTGCAAATTCCGGGTCTTCGAATGTGAGTGAAGACTCCTGTTGCCTACTCGCTGCGCACGAATCGCTTGGATCCACTACTAGCCATCGAATCGCTTGGTGCCACGAAGGCGCCTCAGCAACTGCACAGTATCTCTAAGACACGATAATAGAAGTGACGGAGCATGTCAAACTTGCTGATGGGAACATGTCGGGAATGAAACTAGCAGTGAGATGATATGTAACAACTGCAGCAGCTGCTTTTGTATCGACAATGCCAGCGTTTTCTTGCAACCCTTTCCTTGGAAGCCTGAAGATGAGAACAGTTTGTCTCGAAGATGCTTTTGGAAAGTGAATGCATCGCCGCGCTTGGTGCGTTGGAAGCCATGCCCAGCGATGCGACTTGACGTACTCCTGCTTTGAGGGCCGGCGGAGTCATGGCTGAATGAGGCAGAAACGCCTGTCATGTCAAACGGTGAAACCACCTGGTTTGCATCCATTTGTGTTGTGTTTCTGGTACTGTTCCATGTCTCGTGGCCTCCCAGGCTCCTGTTTTTTGTTGATTATGTCGGGTGTTTCTTGAGTGGGCCAAGCGGGTGGCTTAGGCCAAGATGGGACAAGGAGTTTCCCTCGGCGAAACCGCCCAAGAGTCACTTGGTCGTGCGCGCAGTGGCAAACCTGCCGGTTTAGACCGCTGGAAACACTGAAAAGCAGCCAGATGACCAGAGCGACCCTACTAGAAGTTTTCTCTGGTTTGTTCGCTCTTCACTTTTCATGTGAGCTCGCAGTGATGGGTTGCGTATATAAATGCCTTGCAAAGATTGAATTGCTTAGAGTACGCCAAGGGCCGTATTTAATTTATATATGACACAGGTTAAGAGTGCTTAACACAAACAAACTGAACCTCGCTGTTGCAGTCACCTGATTTTGCTCATATGCTTCATATGACGGTCACCCTCGCCAGCTGAGGCGGTACTTCCTTCAAAAGGTGAAGCTTGGAGAAGGATCTTTTGGCACTGTTTGGCGAGCCGTCGACAGGCCGTTGTGAATGGTAACACATGGGCACAAACAAAGGAAGGCACAAAGAGGCAATGACTTTACATGGAAGTCATATACTTCTATTTTCGTATATTTTCGTGATAGTGGTATTCAATATAAGCAACCTGAGCGTTCCAGCTCTGAAGGAACTTGTCCTGCAGGCAGACAAGCACCACCGTGGCAGTGAAACAGCTGGACAAGGCTTTTCAGGGTCCTCATTCCCGCACCATGTTGCATGTGCATTGCACATGCAGATGTTTTTTTCTTGGTTTGTTTGGCGGCTAGTTTTGGAGCCAAGAGCTGAGGGGTTTGGAAAGACATACGGACACATGCATCGAGACGACCATTCATCGAGCTCAGAATACATAATGACATAATAGTTAGGTACATATGAACACATACAAACAGCCAACCAAGTGCCCGTATGCAGGCTGTTTTGCCCAAGCGTGGAGTCCGTCGTGCTGATATCGAACGAGAGATTTCAGTCATGCAGGCCGTGTGGTTTGGATTGGTATGAATCAGGCCCAAACGAGCCACTAAGCCAATATATAAGCACTGCACCTGAATCCATTTGTGGCCACGGGCACTCTTCTTTGTAGGTTATGCGTGCTGCATGCTAGGAATCTGTACAACTCCTGCCGGTCTCAGCCTTTCAGGATAGAATCTTTCAAACTAATCTAAGTGATAAGCTAATTACACTGGCTGGAGCAAATCTGCCCCTGATATTCCGTGATGCAGGCAGTGAATCATGAGAGACCTTGCTGCAGCTAGTGGTGGCACTCACACGACACAGAGACATTTTGGCGCAGGGCTTCAAATTAATTTGTAATTGGTTGACTGGGAGTCTTTGGTCGTTTCGCGCAGTCAGTGTAGTGTTCAGATGTGAGCAAATTGAACTTCAGCAATCGGCAGTGAAAGTGCATACCAGAGCTAACTCGTGCAAGTCCTGCGTCTCGGTTCGACATCGTTACGTTCTTTCTGGTGCCTACCCAGACCCAGGAATGTCACCAAGCTTTATGGCTCGTGGGAGGATGCACAAAGCATTTTTCTGGCGCTTCTTGGCATAGATTCAATTGCTGCATGTGCTTGCCCTGGCTGGTCAAGTCTAGCATGTGTTTGGAATGCTTCCGAGCTAAGGTTGGAGTACTGCAGCTTTGCTGAAGGGTCGTTGTATCGTCAGACTGCACTGCACCAGTGCACCATGCTGACAACTCCTACTATATAGTTGATTTGTTGTCCCAGTTTTGGGGCCCTCCCAACGCAGCTAAACTTTGTTAGCAACATGTCACACAATCTGGGCATGTTTGCGAGGCAATGGTGGTGACTTCGGCGACAAGGCACAAGCTCGCGAGTTTCAGAGATCAAGAAGTCAGACATGATCGTGTTGTTATTAAATACTGTAAGCATGTTTCCTGATGGGCTCGCCTGTTTTGGACAGGTTCGGGAGAAGGGGATGGATTTAGAGGAGTGGGTGGCTGCCAAATGGATGCGACTTGATTGAAAGCATGATGGATCACTTCACACAGCATGACCTCCCTTGTGGTAAAACTGCGTAGATCAGTGATGCAATGCAAGTGCTACCATTTTTGCTGTGGTAAGGTATCAGATCATCTCGGCTATTTGGGTTTTGCACTGCAAGAACATTTGTCACCGCGATATCAAGCCAGACAACTTCATGGTTCATGATGAGGCTGGCGGGGTGTGCTACATGATGTTTGTGGGTGGGCTAGGAGCAGCGTCGAGCAGTTCTCTCTGCGGGTGACACGTGGCATCATGTTGCCAGATTTCACGACCCTTCATTTGGGCATGTGATGCAGTTGCCTTTGCCATCCTTTGCCTTTTCCAACTAGCTTCAGCTAAAGTGAAAGGTAATTCACCGTTGCCGCCAAGGTCTTGAAGCTTTCAGATTTTGGTTTGGCGGTGCATCTACCCTGGGGCCAACGCCTCACTGACAAGTGTGGAACTCCTGCCTTCATGACGCCTGGCTGAATGGTGGCTGTACCCGGTACCCCTTTGATGCAGGGTGTGAGACTGTGAGACAGTTCGAGCAGAAAAGTTGAGCAAAGTGCTAAAGGTCGGCGCTCACGTTTCTTCAAAAATGAGCAATTTGCATTTTCCTTGAAAAAAAATGATACCAATCCCAAAAACGATACCTAGCCTTGTGACGGTACACATCTTGGAATCTATCTTTGCCTGTTGACAATGTTGACACTCGAGACAGTGTATGTCCAAGGTTTTTTTTGCATATGGTTTGCCATGCTAGCTGGACATTCCATGTCATTTTTGCTAATTATCCCTTCTTTTTCTTCGATGGGAAACAATTATGGGTTCAGACCGATACCAAAAACGATACCAAACGATACCCACTTCATAGGTCTGTATCCCCTCAGGCACCACCTGCCCACTCACATGCCACTACTACTGCCACTACTTCTATTTCTGCTGCTACTACTACTACTACCACTACTTTGACGACGACGACGACTACTACTACTGCTACTGCTACTCCTACTCCTACTGCTACTACTACTACTACTACTACTTCACGACGACGACGACCACGACCACAACAACAACAACAACTACTACTACTACTACTACTACTATAATACTACTATATACGTAGTACTAGTAGTAGTACACGACGACTACTAGTCATCATTTGCAAGATCACCTTCGAGAGCAAATTGCATTCAGACGATACCTCCCCCAAAGAAATTGCATATGGATTGAAAAACGATACCAATCCCAAAAACGATACCATGCTCTAAACGTACCACCAAACGACCCCTAGTTTTGCCGGTCGCTCAGTTGCTGTTTCGTTCGATTGTTCAATGTTCAAATCAAGCAAACAAAGAAGTAAGAAAGCACGCTGAACAGTTAAATTCACTTGAGACTTGTTTCGAGAAGCAGACTTGTAACGAAGTTATTAGTCATTAGTTAGTTGTTTCGAAAAATTGTTCCCTTCTTTGCAGGTCACCTGAGCAGCATCAGCTGCCACAAGACAGCCGAGGCGACTTTGACAAGAAGCCGCAGCCATCATTGAGCATAATGTTTTGGCACAAAAAGTCACCAATCAAGTGTAAACTAAACAAGTGCCTGGTAACTGTTGGTATGTTTTGGGTATATTGTTTATGCCTGCGCAGTATCGCCTGAGGAGATCATCGAACATTTTTGGCTGATCCCATGAGTTTGAGCGGTCAACATGGTTCCTAAATCCATGACGTCCTCAAGCCAGTAATGTTGTAGGACAGGCGGCTGGCCTTTGGTTGTCGGACGCATGCCCACGTAAGCGGCGTAGGTGCAGCATGCATGCTGCATGCCTGCTGAAGTAAGATAAGTAAGAAGGTTAACCGGCAGAAGTAACCGCAGCTCATGCTAGTGATAAGCAGATAAGCACGAGACTTTGATGAAATGTTTGGTGGTCAGAAAGCATTGCTTCCGGCTCACACACCCAGTAGACTTTGACGACAACACCCCCTTTGAAGATTTGCTGTCACCCCAAACGCTGCCATGCAGGAATGCATAGCAATACCTTTTGCAGAACCGACGGGCTGCCCACTCTAGACTGTACGTATCCGCCCTGTTTGCATTTGCACATTCTATGCTGAAGGTTATTCTCACGCTTGCGATGTTTGGGCTGCTGGCATTACAATGTTCCCTGGCTTGGTTTGCGGCGTGGTTGCTTTGCCAAAACATTAACCCCCGTGCAAGAAGGTATATATGAAGCCAAGCGTTCGTGTAGGTTTGCCATCCCAGAAATTGTCATGCCAAAACTATTGATACTGAATGATACTGATACTGAAGCTTCTCGACTTGCTGCCGCTGCATTCACGCCCAGCATCCCCGAGGTACATGGTGATGTTTGCAGGCAAGCATCCGTTTCTCCTCAACAGCCGCTTGATTTGACTTTGGTACATGCCATGAGCATACCAAATGCATCAAACAAGCAGTTTTGCTTTGTCAGTGGCGGTGTTGATTGTTTGTTCCCAAGTGTTGCGTACAAAGTCGGTACAACATCTAAAATTGTTCGCTAGTCTCAGGACTCTCGGGTAGTTCGAAGTCTTTTCTGGCATTCAGTCATGAGACAAAAACTGATCTAACAGCTTGACATATATTGGCATTGAGGTCATCAGCTGGACCAGCAGTCTTTGCTGTCTGGGCATTTGGATTTCAGCGTCAGCAGTGGGTTCTTGGGTTTTGCTATGCCGTACCTGAGCAGCAAGTGTATTTGTCCAAATTGATTACCAGCCAAATTGGCTGCTAGTAGCACCACTGGCAAGGTGAAAGCTGGGAAGTTCACTTAGTCCCTTTTACGTTTAAGCAAAGTCGTGACACAAGGCTTTGGAAGTACAGCCCTCATCAATATGTTGCCATTGTAGCGCCCGGGCCGGTCAGATCTGAGCCACTGTTGAAAGTGACACTACCGTGATCTGTGGTAAATACTATTATATGGGATTGCAAAGTCATGTTGCTGCATGCTAACCATGCCGAGGAAAGACAGGTATTCAGCTGTTGCACGAACTTTTTGCAAGCAGTGGCTTGGGTTGCAGAAGTTTGTGATTGGTCTTGGTCCAGGACAGAGACAATATTATTTGTATAAATATGTTTCTTTGGCAAAGGAATTTCCTTGGCGCCTGGAGTTTCGAGAGACAGCATTTTTTGCATTTTAGCAAATTGATATATTCCCGTGCTGGCCCGTGCAGCTGTCATTTGAGGATGGTTGCCCCTGAAGCAGCCCGCCGCATCACGGCAGTTGATGCGCGACAGAGTATTTGGTTTCAGGACGCCAGCAGTCAGTGACACGCTTTGCACATTGAGATTCTCAAACTGTAGCGTCACCGCCTGCGAAACCAGTTTGCTTTTCCTTGTTTATTTTAAGTTTGTTTTTTGCGGGGTAAGATCTATTTTTTCCATGCCTTGTTCCTTGCCTTGTGGCCTTGTTCCTTTCCATCATCCTTTCGGGTTTCTGTTGTGTTTTGGTGTCGTCTTCTCATTTAGGTGTTTTCGTCTCACTACTTTTCCGTCGATTCATGGGTTTTCGTTATTCCTCTCTTGCTTTAGCGTCTTTGTGTGTGTGTGTGTGTGGGTGGGCCATTTGAATTTGATTGTTTCGTTCCTGTTGAAAGTTGGAAGCATACGTGATCGTGAGTGCTGCTCTCACATGCGGTCGAAACTTGTTCGGGATGTGACTCCAGAATGTTCCAGACTTTGTGAGGGCCTCCCGCCAACAACATGAGCATGATCACGACAAGAACCATGCTAAAAACTCTGATGCACTCACACTCGCACTATATCCCACACGTCGTATAAGCTGCGCGCCAGAGACAGGTCATCACTGTTTTGCCTAAGCTTCTAATCGAAAGCGCTTGGATTGTAAACTCATGACTCATGTTGGTCAGTTGTATAAAACTGTGTTGAGCCATGTTAAGCCAAATTCTTGGAGACTTCGAAATTCTGCAGTTTCTAACCCCCACCAGTCGTTTGCTAACATACTCCAAGGCCCAGTGCCCAGGGTTACTTGAGGTTGGGTCATCTTTCGAGATTAGATGAGGCATGATACAAGAACCAAGGGCTTCTGTTCCACTGATTTCTGTTTGCCAAGCGAACACCCAAAATGTGTGACCAGTCTGACCAGGAGCAAGGCATCCTCACGAGAGTGATGAGGAAAGTCGTCAATAGCCAAGGAAATCACTACAGTTCATGTCAGTGTGTGTTTTATTGAATTTGGTTGCCTAGCTCGAGTTTAAATTTGCCTATGGCCTACACCTCCACACGCCTACACGGTGTTGCTTTCTGCAAGCGAAAGTGAGCGCACGCTACGTGGACTACACTTACAAGTTGGCAAGCGGCAGCTCGCAGTGTGGCACAGTAAGGATGTGGATGCTGTGCCTGAGGAGGCTCCACCACCGCGCCACTTGACACACCCGAGGAATTGGAAAGTCCAAAGGGATAAAGGGATTCGGGGATTAAAAGCGAGATAATTGGCAGAGAGTGAAGAGCAATTTGACATAAAGTCAGATTGCTGACCGGCCCTTGCCAAGGCAAAGCGCCTGTGCACGTAGAAGTAGTCGGCAGGCAGGAGAGATTGCTGGTGTGCATGTTGAACTTTATGGATAACCATTCACCCACAAAATGCATTCGTTCAGTGCCTACTACTGTAAATACATTCAATCATGAATCATGGTGAGTACTTTGCCTCATGAAGCCCAAGCTGCAAACGAAGCAACGTAGCCATGATCCTGGATGTCACCGTGGCATTTTCGCCTCAAAGAAGCTCCCTTCGTGAGCAGAGGGACACGCACATAGCTGGCCGCTTCCGTGAAGGCTTGAGAGGTCGACAGAATGCAACTCAACCTAAGTCAGTGCAGACTTTGGAAGCTGGTGTTGTGCATTCTTGGGCCCTGTAGACCTGAATGATTTCCTGCACTGGTGGGGTGGGGTGGGGGTGTGCTATACCTGCTCAATGAGGCATATATGTCGCACTCCTGCCATTTTTAAATGTGCTGTGTTGAGCTGCGATTACGTTATGAAGTGATCGTATTCCTTGTTGTGACACATGCACGTTCGAGAGCATACGCGTACCATGGCTTGTCCTAGGTACCGGAACCATCAGTATGACATGGATTGCATCACATGGAGTCCTGCAGGGCGAATCTTGCAGGCTGAAACAGGGATGTGTGGTGTGGCCTGTTGGTGCAAGAGTTGCCACTCATAAGCTTTAGCTTCTTGTTACTACTAGTAAGGCACCTGTTACTACTAGCGTGGCACTTGTTCCTAGTAAAAGATTGGGAGAATTCAGAGTACATACTGTAGGTGGATAGATAGAGGAAAAGACTGAGAAGGGAAGCGGGTGGACAGTCCCAACAGAAATGCACAAGATCTACAACCCTTTCCATCCAGGTTGAGTATGCCATGGAGGCTGTCAAGCAGGGTACGCCTGTCTTGGGCTTGCGCTCCAAGACCCATGTGGTGCTTGTATCTTTCAAAAGGGCTCAGTCAGAGTTGGCCAATCATCAGCAGCTTGACTGAAAGATGAGACTCGTGAGGCATCACTTCTGAGACACTAGAATCCTGGAGATCTAACTTGTGATCATAGATCCTCCTGTTGCGGCCAATGTGATCATTCGATTACTTGACCAACTGATTCCAGCAGCCACAACTAGTCCAACTAGTCTCTCATGGATTTCAATGGCTACTTTCTGCACGACGTGCTTGAGTGGGGGTTGATATGTGTATTGGGACCATGTGGCAGCAGAGCTGTCCTACACGTGTACCTTTTAATGCCGATGATCATGATGTATGTACAATCACTTGGTCATGCCCAGGCAGAAGATCTTCAAGGTAGATGACCATATGGCAATTGGCATTTCCGGACTTACCGCTGATGCAAGGGTCTTGGCAGACTACATGCGAAATGAGCACCTGGGCAGCTTCAGGGAAAATGTGTTCCAATCGAACATTGGAAGGGTCGACCTCACCAGTATTGAAAAATAATGAAAAATATATACAGTATATATATATTATATATAGTATAGCTTATCCACTGTCAATGCAGCATTCAATTCAAGCCAAGTTTTTAGGTGCTTGAACCATCGCTATGTCTTTGATTCTGCAATGAATGTGGGCCGTTTGGTCGCACAAGTGGCTGACAAGTCCCAGCAAAAGACGCAGAGTTTCGGTCGCATTAGGGAGGAGGATGCTTACTTGTGCCTTTTTTGAAGAGGTCGTAGGGAAGAGGGAGGCACTCTCCCAGAGAGAGAGAGAGAGAGCGTGGCAGGAACTGGTAAGGCTTGACGATGCTGAATGTGTTCCCGTCCTCAGTTGGAGGCTATCGCTTGTAGGTTGGAGGCCATTGCATGCCTTGTGATTCTCATCTCAGGAATTCCTCCAAGCGTCCCTATGGAGTGGGGCTGTTGGTAGCCGGTTGCGACGAGAAAGGCCCTCACCTTTTCGAGACATGCCCGAGTGGAAACTACTTCGAGTACTATGCCATGGTGACTTGGCTGGTTGGTGGTTGTTTGATGCGTTGGGTATTCCAGGATGTTTGTTTGCATGCAAGACCTCTATAAACCCTGATGACGGTAAGTCACTGAGGCGATCGGTGGTCGTTCGACTTCAGAAACTTGGCTGTTTCCATGTTTTCCGTGTTGGGCCTTAACTTATATAAGCATTCTTAGGCCCGGTGGAATCACAAAGCTTAATCTTCGTGCAGGGTTTGAGAAGCCACAATGCTATGAGTTGTTAGGGTCCTGTGGGGGACACGCCCCAGCTAATTTCTGGAAGACAGAGCTGGGCAAAGAGCTGGACACACTTTCCAAGGCAAAAACTTATTTGGAGAAACATTTCGAAGAGTTCGAGTCGGCCGACTTGGATGCTCTTATCAAACATGGCTTGGAGGCGATGAAACATGGCAACTGCTGGCATATCAGTTTTCTGCCTCTTTGTGATGTTCTATGCCCAGTTCATGATTTGCGTCCGTTAATATCGTGTAAATCTGAAGCCCCAGGTGATTTGGTTTGGTCGATTTGTCTCCCAGTTCGTTGCATGTTGCACTTTTTTGTTGATTAGTGCTGTTTACTACTACGTTGCTAGGTGATTTAAACTGATTAAAAAACTGTAGTTACACCCCATGATCTAGACTCTGGCAGGGCCATTCGACCGCCATGGCTCTTTATTTGTATGTGTGTTGTTCTGGATGGTCCACAGAACGTGCCGAACGTGCCTGTCGAGGGGCACTCCTCAGGAACAAGACAACCTCTTCAGATCAGTCGCTCACCACCAAGAACACCACCGTGGCGGTGATCTCGGACAAATACAGGGAGCTCTCGAGTGAGGAGAAAGAAACAATGATGAATACGCTGCAAAGGGGCGTGGCTGCGTATGGGAAAGCATAATACATGGAGCCGTAGAGTAAGTGAAAGAATATGAAAGAATTGACTTAAGGTAGTTGTGGATCATGCTATATACTGGTTGCTGGTGCTTGTCTCTATCATGAGGGTAACCCAGAGCGACATTCTTCATGCCAGATACTATGGCAATGGCTGCTTTGTAGCGATTGAATGCGATTGACACTCGTTTGCCTCTTAGGGCGTTTGTCTCATGAAACTGCCTGGTCCCCTTGGGCCGCTGAACCCGCGGGCTGCAGGAGATGCAGAAATTCATTGATGGCCTCGAGAAGAAGGAGGATGAGCCCATGGAAGATGAGCCGGCACCAGCAGCAGCATCGGGCGATGCACCTGATGCTCCCGCGCCGATGGACACATCTGGCTAGAGAGGGATCCAGTGAGGACACTAATTTTTGGGTCCAAGCAATTCGGAGACGCTGCAATTCATGCCAAGTCAGGTGGGATCTGCAGTAGAGATGTAGAACAGGATGGCACAGAATGGCTGGGACCCATCGGACAAAGTAAAACGGCCCCTTGCGTTGATTGACATGTACAATTTTCGCAGAATGATTGGCATGAGAGTGTTTTGTCTGAGAGAGCTGGAGACACTTCCTGTGCTGCCCCCAGCCAGGCAGCCTTCAAACCTGACAGAGGATGCAGGCAACCAGTCAAGTGAGCCGAAGGACTTCCTTTTTAATTAGAGTCCACTTGGAACTGTTGGTTTGTGAGGAGACGGGCCAGGTGACCATCAATATCAATCTTCATTTTGTCAGACCTCAGGAGACTTCGCAAGCAAGCTGGTGGCCCTTTTTGTTGGCAGCTGAGCCCTTCGTGTGTCCAGCTCCACTTAACAGGCATGATGTGCCTGTTTGAAACGATTGATGGCCTTATATATCCTTATGCAATAATATTCAGAACTTTTTTTGAAGTGCGCACAGTGGGTTGCAAACAGTTGTGTTTTTGGTAGCCGTATGGACCTTTGGGCCCAGCGGGCTTTTGACTGGAAGTTTGGGTCCCAAAAGTGGGACGTGGAGCACCGAGGCCAGAGAAAACGGAGAGGCTTGAGAAGGCTGAGCCGCGATGAGCTCGGTGAGTGTGCGGAAGGTTTTACACATGCCGACGTGCCGAGGGTATCGAGGGTGTTACTTTCGTACAGCATAGTATATGCGGTATATATATGATGGTATATGTCTTTTGGACTTGGCAAGCTTAGAAGAACTTTTTCTTGCACACGCGCGGCATATATATATATATTCTTAGACACACCTTGTCAGCTGCAATTGCTCAGACGAACTTTTCAAGCCCTGGAATAGTTTGCAGATGTGATTTCGTATGTGCTTGCAGACTAGTCAGAAGCCTTCCGAAGCTTGCCCCCGGGTCCACTACTCCAAGGACTGCCTCGCCAGTGCAAGACGCTGTAGAGGCCAGACACCTGGGTTCAAGGCTCAAGGTAGGTTACCAGCAACCAGGTGCTTTTGAGCCCTTCGTCCTTCAAGGCCAACTTGAAGATCGTAGTCCTGCTATGATGTTTACCAAGCTCACCAATGTTCAAATTTGCGATGTGACGATCTCATCTATCAGCGCGATGCGCTGATGCAAAAGAAATTGTTCTGTCATGCTTTGTCAAGCTAAACACGTGGCAATGTAGCGTGATGCTGTATGGCAAAGGCATCAGCGCCTGTACAGACTCGGTACAGGCAATGCACTCACATGTGTTTGGTGTCAATTATCGGCTTGAGCACTAGAAACATAGGGTTATATATATATATAATATGGTTTTCTGTGTCTTCCTGCAGCTTATTCACTCAGAGCTTTTGATGCCAGGTCGCAAAACCAGAGCCGTCACATGAGCTGCAGCAGCAGTCCCTTGGCCAAAAGAGCTGCAGAGAACAAAGCTATTGCTCTTTGGCCCCATATTCTGTATACTCATCTCCTGCAATTTCCAACTGGCCTAAGCCTGGTTGACATGTAAGACTGGTGCAACACTTCCCCAGCATCGTTGAAGCTGAGGGTTCAAGACTTGCAGCTAAAGTTAAGGCGTGGGACAGCTGCGGAAGCAGACTGACAGACAAATGTTTGTAGCCCCTATTTTTGCCAAGCAGCAAATTGACCTGGCCACCTATTGAAACAACGGTCGGTAGTCGACTGAGTTGGCTTGCAGGCATTATCGGTAAATATCGGTAATATATATACAGTAGGTGTTCCATGGTGTTCCATAGCTCCCTCAAACAATCTGAACATCTTGCAACAGATGAGTTCCCTGCTGTGTCCTCCTGTCTCAGTCTATTCAGAAGAGTCAAAGCACAGTCTCCCGCAGGAACATGCAAGAAGTGACAACTCAGCAATACTATACCCATCGGCATTGTAACCGTAAGCAAGCGCAGCCGAGGGAGGTTGGGCTCCCCAAAAAAGCCTTGTAAAGGAGCAACGCAATTAACAAAGTGGAAATGTTTGACCTGATCATGTAGTGGAATGTCGACCCGCTTTGCGATTCTGTGTTGGGAGGCAGCTTTCTGGAGAAAACGAAATGCAGAAACTGCAGAACGAGTCCCAATTCCAGATGCTGCGGGAGAACCTCGGCTCACCGAGTGCAGCGGTGTAGGACAGATGGTCTTTGCATGTCTTTTGCCAGTGGCCTTCAGCACGCCAGAATTCAGGGAAACCTGACTCAGAGAGTCTAGACGCAATGGTTGGACCCTGGTTGTAGGGATGTACGTTTGTTTAGCATGGAAGAGCCCAACAGGGCCCCACACGATCCAAAAGGTTGATCCTCCAAAAGGTTGGTGCCACAAGATCGGGCATGCCTTTGTTGCACGGAAAGGCTGGGCTGCATGATTCGGATTCCGTTGATGGCCGAGAAAGCGCCCCTTTGCTTTCGCCAAGGATGCAACAACAGCTGAAAAGACAGGTGACTCGAGACTTGGAGGCGACGGCGACAGATTGAGATGCTTCAATTTGAGTGGGGCCAAACACAGGGCTTTGCCAAACACAGAAGGGCTTGACACATCACTCATATCCCGACAAGTTCCTTTGAAGCACACTGATGCAGGCCACAGAGGCCACAGCTGCTGCGGCCAACACGGCCATGCCAAAGGTCGTGAAAGAGGTAGTGGTGGAGGGATATTCAACCGACACTTGGGTGCAACTTAGAATGTGCACAGTGAAATATTTTCTCAAGTCTCCCATCTATAGACTCCAGCATTCTGGCCAATGTTGGACCTGTGGATACCTGTGGCACATGGGAATTGCTCAGTTCAGCAAACAAGAAAACATACAAATTAGTTTGTCAAACATGTGTTCAATTTGGCCCAGGCAGAAGCCAGTCCTCCGGTTCAGCGGAGTGATACGCGAAGTCAATCCCGCAAGCACCTTGTTGTAACATTGATGGGCTGTTTGTTGCCAGTGCAAGCAACGAGTGAAAGATTGGTTATATTGATACTATCGGAATATAATGTGCTTTGCATTGATGTAATTGTGTAGTCTTTTATAATTGTATTTCGCTTTTCTTAAAGTCTTAAAGCATCATGGAAGCATCGACCCCCAAAGGTAACGCCGGACGGCTGAAGCATGCATAGGTTTGGCATGGAATGAGACAGCGCCTGGGTGTAGCCTACACGGTGTAGCTACTTCATGTCCCACAATGAATCACTGTCCAAGGTGTGAAATCCCAGTGGAACAATGTAAGGGAGAAGGTTGCTTCGAGAACCCTATACCGATGCAGAGCATCCAACATGTTGAATGTCAACGCAAGCAACTCACAGGTGAAAAAGCTATCCTTCGCGGACTGTATTCATTCCCTCTTGAATGTGGTTGACACTCCGGGGGTATCAACCTAGCAGGATCTAGCAGGTATCTACAGCACTTGCATAGATGTTGATGCGCACCCACATCAGCGAGAGAACCACCAAGGCAACGGCGTCATTCATGACTTGCCTCCCAACCCCGCCATAAGGAACTGAAACACCTTGGTCAACTGGGCCCGTGTTCAGGGTCGAGCAGTAGAGCTTCATAGGGCTTCATAGTTCAGGATCCTGAACCGAGGCTTCAAACTGCTGCAGCGGCGGAGACTTTGCCTGCCACACTGAACGTCGGGAAAGGAATGCGCCACTGGGACATGATTTGATAGACACAGGCAGCTAGCCCACGCAACAAATCATTGATTTAATTTAGAACCGGGGTCTTTTCATGAGGAGATCAACTTACAAAGTAATTGTACGGTATATATTTCCTTTCTCAGTTGAGATGCCATAGCTTGAAAAGTGGACGACTATTAAGAGAACCTGCAATGACCTACAATGTAGGAAGTCTTGGTGACTAAGGCTGCCGATATTGGTCTGCCACACACGGTGACCGGTGGCTGCCTGCTTGCGTGGCAAGAGTTCAACCAGATGGCACGTGTGGGAACCAAGCAAACCAATCTTCTCAGATATTGATGCAGGTTCTGCAGACGGACCTCAGGTTCGACATTCTGCACAATGATGTATGGATACATAGTTGTTATCGTCTATCATACAAGGAGCAAGGTGGTTTGGTCTATTTGTGCAAAATTCAGATCTAGTGCACCTAAAGGCGTGTACAAAATACTGTAGCAAGGCTCCAACATATATCCCACGGCAGGGTTACATGCAGAAGCCAGCAACGGGCAGAGGGTGCTTTAATGAACGAGAGCTTCGCTTGGCACGAAAGTCTTTTTGGTATGGAAGAAGAAGCCTACAAGCCCAGACTTGCTAATGATTAGCTGCTAATGTTGGATTTTGATCAGTAAAAGGGCACCCCCTTCAAACAAATGGGGGATCCTCTATAATGAACTACCACCAAAACAAATCTGGGTTCCTGTGAGGATTCCTTTTTGTAATTGATTGTAGTATTCAGTTTCTTTTCTAAACTTCTTTGTCATTAGGTATTCTTTGCAATCCTTTCATACGACTACATAAAGGATTGATTAAGGAATTGCCGGCTTTAGGAAGCTGTGAGTTTTGAAGAAGAACTATAAAAACCCATACTTATCAATACTCTCAGCAAGCCAACCATTGGCTTAGTAGTATTAAGAATTACTATGATCACGGGCCTTCCTGGTCTACTACCTTGAACATTTGTTGAGGAGCAATCTTTACATAAAGGATTGATTAGGGAATTGATGGCTTTGGGAAGCTGTGATTTTTGAAGAAGAACTATAGAAACCCATACTTATCAATACGCTCAGCAAGCCAACCATTGGCTTAGTAGTATTAAGTTTTAAGAATTAATATTGCTATTTCTAAAGGAAATGTACTTAACCCTAAATATTTTTCAGATAATATGAAATTAGGATCCCCAAACAATTTATCATAATAGAGGACCCTTAAAACAAACAGGGTGTCAATATGTTTTTTCTTCCGAATTTAGCATTGTAGAGGGCCATTTACTAATCAGCGTCCAACATGAATGTGTGCAGCACGGCCCTGTCATGGCACTTTCCCCATTGACCAAGGATTGACCTTGATATCAAACCGCATGCGTCCATCGAGAACATCTCTCCAACAGCTGATGCAGCAGAAGCAGAGGCGGAGAAAGCTTTTATTGTACTTTATTGCTCCTTCCCTTAGGACTGGGGAAGCACCCGTTTCACTGTACTTTGGAGGGGTCAACATTAGGAGTATGATGAATGTATGCTATTTGACTGGGTGCGTGCGACGGCATGCAACGTACTTTTCAACGATGGTTGCATTCTGTAGGAAGAAACGGATGGAAAAGGGCTGATTTTCCCAAGTTCAATCATTGCCGCCTATAGCTGCTACTGGTCGCGTTTCAATCGCGACGGAGACCACCCGCACCAATTGCTTCTCCTGCATGAAGCACTCATTCAGATTTTAGTAGACCATAAGGAAGATATCCTGTTTCATCTCAGGTTTGCCTCCCCAACAGATAACAAAGACAAGGAGGAGTGTTGCAGTATGTTTCTTTGTGCGTCGAAATCGATGTTTGCACCAGGCACACAAACGACAACGCAGCGAGTCGAAACACGTACACTGTACACTGGTTACAACTGTCCCATGGCGTCATTCTTGCCAGTTCCGCACTGACGAATGTACACCGTAAAATAAGGAAGAAAGAGAACGAAAAGGCCAAAGGTGGCGTAGGGAAAGGTAGAGGGAATTTTAGACAACATCAACTGGTTCCCCGTCCACAGGCACAACACGAGCTTCTCCACAAGCTTGTCACCAAACCAGGTGAATGCCCAACAGCTTGTGCAACACCCCAGCTGATTCGAGTTGGCCTTGAGATTGGTTGCACTGTGCCGTGTAATGTTCAGCTGTTCGTGCATCCTATATGCTGGCAGACCTCCACACGATTGCCAGGCATGGCCACCTGGCACCAGCGTCAGCTACAACAGTAGCACGGCCAAACGGTGGATTCCTGCAGTGGTTCAATCGCCGGGCCACCTGGAGACTGGCAGAAGTCCTTTATGTGACACCGCAAGATCAACAGAACACATGCAGCACACAGATGCAGTGATTGGAAGGTGGTTTGATTTTTTGAGACAACCATGCATCAGGCCATGGGTACAGCATCTCTTGGTTGTTGGAAGGTCGGAACGGAAGGTCCACGCTTTGCGGCCAGTCGAATCATGCTCAGGTTCAACTCTCCTAGCAGCTCCAACCCTGAGTCTTGGCCGAGAATATTCCATTTCATTATATAACATCCCCACCCCCTATCTCTACAAAACGGAGGGGGGACCTGTCTAAATGAAAGCTACATTTTTCAAGGTTTTTTTTGGGGGGGGAGGGCGGGGGTCTAAAAAATGTAGCTTATATTTATTCAAAAAATGTAACTTACAGGTTTTAAGCCCAAAGTTGCAAAAAATGTAGCTTACATTTAGACAGGTCCCCCCCTCTTAGGGGTGGGGATTCATTTACCAGGAGATGGTGCCTACCATTTGACACTGCGACGCATCCCAGCGTGGGTTTCTCTTCCACTGCCAATTGTTTAAAGACCGGTTTATATTTTTATATATACTATATACCCTGGCCTTCAATGTAGAACTTCGACGTGGATAAGGTAGATCCGTTACCCGGTGAAACATTGACGTAAGTTATATAAATACTATGTTTTGTTCGGCCCTATTTGGCCTCTACGGATGTTGGAAGGGCAGGGTATATGTGTATATATTATATAGCTCTATGATGGTTTACATATATGAAATACATGTATAAGAAGTGCTTTCTGAGGTTGGCAGTTACAACTTGGATGTGCGGCCCTGCGCGGATTGTGACAAGATCCGGCCTCGCTTGCTGAAACCCTCAGAGATCATGAATATGCCTGGCTGAGCACAAGCTTCTGGTCGAACATCCAGAGTCGACAAGATGCCGTTTTTTGAGCATGATATGTTTGTTTCTTATTATTACCTTGCGATTCGGGCACTGGACAATACATGATACCAAGTCCACTTTTGATGCATTTGTGCTCACACCGGGCTAAGTTCAAGGGTACTTGCTGGAGTTTCTGCCACGGTGCAGTGATGTGCACTTATATATTTGGACCAGTCAGTTCTTAGAAACGTTCAGCAGGAATGCAATTAGTGACTGTGTATGAAATCGGAAGGCTAGTTTCAACATGATATAACTGCCTGGCATCGGCAATTGATGACCAATGTACTTTGGTTCTGTTTTGGCGTTGTGTCTTTGCTTGGCCGCGTTGGCCTCCAAACCGACTAGTCGTGGGATGGAATGGTTTGAGCGGTGGTAGTTGGTGGGTATGGCCAGTCCCCATGCCGATCTCAGATTTTGAGGGCCTTCTTTTGGCCCCGGAGCACGGAGCAGCACCGGCTAGCCGTAGCGTCTCACCTCGTAGTCGTAGCAGAAGGATCTGCAGCTCTTGGACCGAGTCTGGACATAGCTCACAGACACAGCCCGCTCACTGGAGGCATGCGGCCGAGGAGCCTTGAATGGTCCAATAGCTGTCATATGCTGTCATTCAGCATTCCTGTAAGCTACCACCACAAAGCAGGTGGTTCATAGTCGGGATGGGTGGAGTGATGTGGGCTGGAGATTGGAGTAGAACGTGAAAGTTTCTATCCCAATACATCACCCATCAAGAAACCTAGCTCACTACCTTGCAGAGCAAAGAAGCTGGCCTTGCAGCTGCGTCATGTGACTTGTTTTTTGCAGTGCTCAAATACTAGTAACTTAAAGTCGGTGCAGCTGTGTGGCTGACTCCCCATAACGTCATTGCGCAGGGCTAAGTCTAATCTATAGCTGGGTACCCATCACTTGCGGAAATAGTCAGATGCCGAACAATCATGAAACATCCGGCATTTGAGCTATGTTCACTCCAACACGGAATGCAGACTGTTTGCGGAAGTAGTCGCACTGGAAGATCCGTGACCTATATAAATGAAGTTATATGATACTATATATATATATATCACGAAAGCTAGCGAAGCTACCTGGAGTTACTCTTGCGATAGCAAGGTTTCTTTCGATCGGGTGCAAATCCTAACCCCTGATTTTTCAGGTCGAAGCCCCCCCCCCCTCCCTCTCCCCACCTCCCCTCTCCTCCTCCTTGTCTCCTTGTCTTCCTCCCACCTTCCCTCCCTCCTCCCTCTTCGTCTTCGCAAGTTCGACTCCGTCCTGTCGTCGCTCTTTGGCATGTGGTTAGCGTTGCGTATCCTGCCGCCGCACTCGCTCACTCTCACTCTCACTCTCACTCTCACTCTCACTCTCACTCTCACTCTCACTCTCACTGTCTCTCTCTCTCTCTCATCCTCACTGTCTCTCTCATCTCTCTCTCATCTCTCTCATCTCTCTCTCATCTCTCTCTCAACTCTCTCTCATCTCTCTCTCATCTCTCTCTCATCTCTCTCATCTCTCCCTCATCTCTTTCTCATCTCTCTCATCTCTCTCTCCTCTCTCTCTCTCTCTCTCCTCTCTGTCTCTCGTCTTTCCGTCTCTCTTCTCTCTCTTCTCTCGCAGGAGGATCCGGGCAAAGAACCACATATAAAGGACTCTTCACCCCTGCCTCCAAAAAGAGCGCCGTGTTTTTTCCTACCTCGCTGCCCTCCACTTTCCCATTCTGGAGCGCTAGCTTTCGCCCCCCCCCTTGGCCTCAAGTAGTTACACCGCCCAGAAAGTTTCTGGCACAAGTCAGGGTTCCCGGGAGTGTTCCCGGATGCGCCATCAATGTATTTTTCCTTGCTATTTTGCACCTGTAGATGGCGCATTTATAGGGAGAGGGGGGTGCAAAAATGCAAACGCAAGAAAAAATGAGCTTGCAAAAACAAGCGAAAAAACGCGCTATAGATGGCACAATGCACATCAGTGCAAAGCCATCCAAAGCAGTCCAAACCCCACTCAAGCCCATCGGCGCCCATCCTACTCTGTCTTTTACTATTTCTCCTGCTTTTCCTTTCTCTTTCTCTTTATCTTTCTTTCTCTGCACAAGAGATTCAGCTATTGTAGTTCTACTTTCCAACTGGAGCATATAGATGGAGCGTGCAGTCAGGGGTCTCCGAGTACGAGAGTTTTTTGCTTAAATCTCGCCCTTTTTATACTGACAGCATGCCTACTGATGGCGCAACTCTACTGTGGTACTCTGGAGCTCGTAGATGGCGCAATTTGTTTTTTAAAACCATCTATTTTCAAGATGGAGTATATGTATACGATCTCAGCTGAGGGAGCTTTTTTGTTCTGTGTGTGATCAGTTGGCATTTCGGCATTCCAGGTCTTACTTGAGAATGGGGCTTGTCCAGATGCCTCTGGCCGTGAGGGGGTGCGGACTGCGACGGACGGACTGCGTGCTTTGAACACTTTGATTTGCAGGATGCTGTAGGGCTGTAGGGCTGATCAGCCTGAGCAATAAACTGCTACAAAACAGCAATCAGAACATCAGAACTTGAACGAATGTGCTTGAAATCTCATGTCTCTGGATTCCTGCCCATCTCTCCGTGCTATGTGTGTCTACATGTCTACATATTCTGCTTTGGGCAGAACATGTGCCGGGGAAGCACCGCAGGTGACACCTTTGGAGCTGATTCTTCGCAAGGAGCGTGAGGAAAGCGCTGATGCCGAGTGGCTGAGGCATCATGCTTACTTTTCTCATTGGAGCCAGAATTATTTGAAAATTTGTAGACCGTTTCATAGACTCAGCCGCCCCCCAAATAAGGGGGTACTTTATAACAGGCACTCGAGGTTTTTGTTGGTATTCTTTGGATATTTTCTAATGTGTAGTGATTGGTTTCACATGGCGTAGGACCGCAGGACCATCCGCACTGTTAACTTTGAAGCTGTTGTGTCGGTGGGGATTGTTGAAGCTTGAAGCTCAAGCGACTGCTGCAGAGAAAGTGTGCTGTGAAGGTTGTAGCCTTCCGCTTGGAAACTAAGATGGATCTAGGAGAATCTAGGATGGTAACAAAATTGAACCAAAGCCCAGGGTGTGGAATAGTGAACAAACCATGATGAAACATAAAACACTGATGAGTTTTTTTGCATATTTGCATTGTTTTATGTTATGTATATACATACACGTGTGTATATATATACTATATGAATATTGACCGCATTCCTGCCGTATTGTATGTACCTCGATTTTACGCGTATCTCAGTCTCAGACACTCTTGGGGAACCTACAAAATGTACGTACTGTGTATATATAATATATCATATATCAATGACCATTTTGTGCAGGAGCCACTAAGAGCCCTAGGCTTTCAAGGGGGTTCTGTTGTCAGGCAAGCTGCAGATGTGGGTGCCTCATGATTTGACCCGTTTGGGTTGATCTCCTGCAACATTGCTCTGTGGCTGCCATGTCGTCCATGGTTGTTCATTCCTTAACCATCCTTAACCACTAGTCAGTAGTTGAAGATGCACCTGCACCATACCGACCTTTGAACTTTCTGCGAATCAGGTTCTTCGCAAACACCGTGCGACACTGGAAGCAACACAGGCGCTGTGCATGTCGATGTGGCGGCCGAGCTAGGTAGTCTGTGTATAGCCTTTTTCATCCTTTTTCAATGTTTCAACTGAAGTCTTGAGGAATCCAATCCACATGGCCCGACCATGGTCCCCATATGTCCGCATATGACTCATGAACTATCATGAACCATGGACCGGCATCAGCTTTAGGAGGACCATGAGGCACGCATCATCGAGCTGCCGAAGCCCAAGAGTCGTCCTTGTGTCGCACTTTCGACCCCAACCCCTGAGATCAGATTAAGCGCAAAACTGCAGATGTGACGTGTTAAAGCGGTGTGGCAGCTGGTGTGGTGCTGTGCGCCCCCTCTCGATGAAGCTGCAAGCGCCCCCTCTCACCGTGTGCCAAACCCAACAGTCTTGGTGCGGTGTTTTGGTGTTGTGCTGTTTGGTTACTGCCCTTGGACAGCTCATGCGTTTGGATGTGGTGTACACGGTCATGGACCTAGGCATGGCAACAGGGCCTGGGCATACGTCAACCGCAAGCGAGACACCCTAAAACCATAGTAGGTTGACATCGCCATTCTTTGACTCACAAGTGCGAGCTGGAATATCTGGAATTCAGGCCAGTGTGACTGTGCACTCAGTCAACGATTGAGGCGGAAGACCTTCGGTGTGAAGATGGTAGGGGCACCAAGACTTCTTTCGGTGACTTTGCTTTATCTTAGTGTTTGAGCCACATCAAGGGCCGCCAGTGCCACTTTAGCGTGAACCCTAATTAATGCACTTTTGCTGCCGCATTTGGTATGCAATTGATTGCAATTGAACGTATCCAAGATTGCCAAAAGTTCCATAAACTTAAATCGCAGACGTCCATCGTGGAATCTTCCTTCGTTTTGTGGCGCCGGTCTTCTAATTCCAAAAGCCCTGCCGCAGAACTCATACATACATACATATATATATATATGTAGACTTGATAGAGTGTGCAACAATTTGAGTTGTCCTTACCTCATTGATCCACTTTGATTGTTGACCTTGTTTCATGATATTTGATGTGATTGTCACTTTCTGTCCTTCGAACAGTGGATTTGTCCTGGGCACTTTCAGGTGGGAGCCTTGCTGACCTTGCAGTCCCCCATGTCCTTGCCAACAGAGAGTTTGGAGGAACAGGGACGGGTGGGCTGCGAGTTAGTGCATGACAGAGCTATGTAAGACACATAGAATCCAATCAAACAATGTGACATTATACTTATATATTGTATGTATACTGTATCTACTCTTGAGTACAGATGCACAGAACCTTTTGGCATGTTTTACTCGACAGACCTCACTGTTGCTAGCAGTCCAGCTAGCGGCCGTGTTATTTTGCAGGCCTTGTATTTGCTCTTCAGGGAGTTGCCCGCAGAGGTGCCAAAACATGTGTTTCATTGGATCACTTTGAGGTATTTGCCAACTTCAATGGGTGTTTGAGAAGCTTGCTCATCGTGCTGAGCCTGTCAATTTGGTTGCCGTTGGAACTTTTTGCTCTGATTTAGGCGCCAGCCTTTCGATCACAGAATAATTGCAAACCCAAAAATCTTTGATATATGGCTGGGGGTGGGTCAGTCCCACTGTTTGCAACTTTTGTGTTTGCTTTGTTGCGATCTATATGATTCTGCGTGTGTGGACTGGAGGTGGTGAAAGAATCTTTGGAACCACAGGCAGGCCGTTCAATGATTCAACTGGCTGTTCAGATCCTGAAATTCGTTGCGCAGCAGTATTGCAGTACATAATTAGATACGCACAGAATGCAATCGTCGCAGCGTCGCAGTTTGCAGAGAGACTGTCCTTGATCCAGACAGCTGAAGCCGGACCCCTGCGGCTTGACACAGACATCCCACACTGGAGGTCTACTGTGCTTTGGCCGCCTTACTCCAACACTTGGCCTGGCGCTTGAAGGGGGGATGCCTGGGGAAATTATTGCCATTTGAGCTTGAGGTGGACACTTTGAATTTGCACCACCACCTCTATATATTTTATATATTTTATGTTAGTTATATATATAGTTGTTTCTTTTTTAGGTTCTTATATATATATGTGTGTGTATAACATATGCTCCGATTAATCGTCTCCCTGGCACAATGACCTAGGCCTTCGTATAGCATAAGATCATACAAAGGCAATATGTGATAGGGTTGCAGGGGTGGTATGGCAGCTGGATTTGGCCTGGTGACTGTCCCTAGCAGCTTGTAAGGTGAGACAACCGACAACTCCTATGAGCAGTGGACTGCCGCAGTGTAAGGGCTCAAGACTGGGTATGTCTTGCTACAATGATTGCATGGATTGCTTAGCCACTGGAACGGCCCTTGCGACCTAGTCATTGGCAGTGGCTATGGTGGGCAGGACCTGCAAAGGGAGTGAGGGCAGTTGAACAGCGATCATTCAAGATCCCCCCTGCTGCATGAGGCTTCCCATGTACATCGTACACCAGGTGTGCAAAAGGTGTACCCGCTTTAGATGCTTCGATGCTCCTCTTTTGGTTTTGGTTGGTCCCTCATGATTCAATTCCCTTCAGCTGTGCTGACAAACATTGCACCCTGTAATTGCCATAATTTGCCATACATTGCTTGAGAAATGCTTTTGAGTGGCTCTAGCTGAGGGGTAACTGTGCAGCGTCTGATGGACCGCCTATCCTTTGTGCCATGATCAGTCCCGAAACCGAAGGGGCAGAAGTTGCACCAAATGAAATCAACCTAGGCGGCAATGATTTTGAGACGAGCCCATTGGTTTTCAATGCGATCGACTTGCCCAGGACCTGCTGGAACACACTTTTCATGTTGCATTCTTCATTGATGAATACTGTAAGCCTTGCAAGTCCTTTGTTTCTGACCTTTGAAGCAATTATGTCGCTTTCCCTGAAGGACGCGGAGATATACCCCTTGCTATTTGCTCCTCGCAGTGTCACTGATCAGTACGGCCATTTGGCGCATTGGATCAGAGACTGCAGAAGTCTCCAAACTCACAGCTTTAGACTTGCACAATGCCTGTGGGCGGAAGCTCAGTTGGTCTGCAGATCGCCACCTATGTGTCGCAGCCAAAGGGGCCTACAACGGAGCAGAGGTCACGACCCAGCCATGCGGCAGCCTGGGTTTTCAGGATGAATGGATCTTCACCAAGCGGGGGAAGAACATCACCCGAATGCGCCTGGCTACTGCTCCTCACCTGTGCATGTCACCAATGTCAGGCCCGAAAATATTCCCTGGCTCAAAGCTCCTTTTGCAGTGGTGTTCCGACACGGATCACCACCAGCATTTCTCTGAAGTCAATGGGACCATCAGATGGCAAAAGCGGGCAAACCTATGCATGGATGTTCAATATGACAAAGATGCCGCAAACACCCCGCTTCAACTGTGGCACTGTACAGGTGCCAAGGTGCAAATGTTTGACCAGTGGCCTTGCAAGGACAGGTGCTTCAGGCAGATCCACTTTACTCGACATCCAGGAATGTGCTTAACTACGGCTGGCTGGCATTTGAAGGAGCTTAATCTTCATGGCTTGATGCAATGTACAGTAGCTTCTTGTTGGTCAGCTTGAACCTAGCCTAGTGCATTGTTTTGTTAATTCATGTTCATTCTGTCATCATCTCATTGAGCAAGATCACCGTAACCCTTTGCCGCTGCGTGTTCTCTCATGTTTGAGAGATACATGACGCAGGAAGGAGTGGATCTGGGCCTCTCACCATGCCTTGAGAGCCATTGGGGAGCAAGTCAGTTCAAGTTCAGCACCTCAGGTGGGCTTCTAAACAGACCAAGGCGGCAAAGACCCACGGTTTTTTACCCCAGCTTTAGCAGATTTGTTGCATTGGCCCCGGCCCATGTTTTCGGCCCCTTTAGGTGGCAAGCTCCAGCTGGCCTTGAATCACGAACTCTGTGCAGAGGCTGATGGCTCGGGCCTGCGGATTGCCAAGTGCGCTGAGAATCACCCCAAGCAAGACTTCATGCTGAACTACTCGCTCATCGTCGGACGCGGCAGTGATCCAAGTTGCATCATGGCCAAGCCTTCGAAGGCGTTGAAGCTAGCGAAGAGCTGCAGATCTGAACCAGAGGTGGAGGCCCTAACCAGTGGCTGTGAAGAAATCATCCATCCTCACATCAAGGTGAGTGATGATGATGCAACAGGATGCCCCAGACAGATCAGGTGGTCAAGCTACCCAAGCCTTTGCATTGGCACTATGGCTTGGCATGTGGGACATGGGCAAAACATAGTCCTTTCCGCCTGTGAAGACCACAAAATGGCAGGCCCACGCCAACATTGGGTCTTCACAACTAAGGGGAAGATTCAACTGGCTTCTAGTCCAAGTTACTGTCTCGAGGTGACTAAGCAACTCTATGAAAGTTACTTTCCCATCTCTTCACAAGCAGATGGTGCGCACCTCCAACTGTCGCAATGTATTGATGGTGATGAAGCTCAGCAGTTCACAATGGGTCCTGACAACATCATACGACAGGGTGACAAGTGTGTGGACGTGGAATGGCGCATCCCATTGCCATACAGTAGGTTGGTGTTGACTGAATGTGGAGGTGAACAGCAGTTTTATCGAGATGTGTGTAAGAATGAAGAGCATGCAGTTCCTCCTCATCGGAAGGGCTCCTTCATCGTGGTCGGAGATTGGGGCTGGGACCATTTGGTGCACGGAAATGTCCCAAAGGCGACTTGCCAAGAAGCCATTGGGGCAAGGATGGCACAAATGATGGATGAGTTGGGCGACGTGAAGTTCATTATCAATGTGGGCGACTCCTTCTACCCGGATGGCTTGACCTCCAAGTCGGACCCTCGCTGGGATATACAGTGGCGAGAGAGATACCCAGGGGTAGTCCGAAGCGTTCCTTGGTACAGCGTCTACGGCAACCATGATACACATCACGATCCAGGCTGGTGCCACTCGGGAGTTGGGTCGCAGATCAATGGCAACCTTCACGACTATGGAACCTTCTACATGCCACACTACAGCTGGCATATTGAACATGACGATTTAAATGTTGAAGTGCTTGGCCTTGATTTGAACAAGTTTGTGGATGGATGGAATGCAACACGTCCAGTCAGCGAGCTTGAGCTTTCTGACTGCCAATACAGCCCATGTCCAGACGAGTGCCGTGAAAATGCTGAGCTACGAGCAGAGGAAGCCTTTAATTTGATGTCCACACGCCTCAACAAGTCGCAGAAGAGCAACCTCCTCGTTTTCTCCCACTACCCCACAGACTACCTTCAATCAGTGCCCGACTTTGTGAATCAATTGCGGCCTCATGGAAAACGAACCATCGCGTACTTCTCAGGGCATCGCCACAACACCGACCAAACCACAACACTCCGAACTGGACCACATGATTGGCTAGTTGGAGGTGGTGGCGGTTGGAGCTGTGATGGCATCGAGCAGGGCTTTGTGGTTGGCATCATCGATAATGACTTCCAATTGAAGACACTTGACATCATTGACAGCACGTGTCTTTTGGCTTTATTTTACCATGCTGATGTTGTAATTTGAGTTGCCGTTGTGATTGTGGCATAATCGCTGTACGTTTTTGTTTTCTATGATTTATATAAGCGGACTTTGGTTGAGCTGCTTCGATGTATGACTTTCTATAGTGCAAGTCGATACCCTCAGTCAAAGGTTGCACAACTCTTGACAATCTTTTGCAAGAAAGGCCCAGGTCAGTTAAATGTTGTCACCCCTCACTTTCTACCGGCCTTGTCTACTTGTCGAGGACACATCCAGTACTTGTAAATCCTTGGATGTGCTGCCCTGATTTGCCCAAAGAAAACAACATCAAGCTTCTGAAACGAATGAAGCGGCTGCGGCTGAAGCTGAAATGAGACCAGCGGCGCTCGCCAAGCGATCCTGCCGCGCAATCAATTGGCGCTGCCAGATGGCAGCGTCACGCCTGCCTAGTTGCACGGGGTTCCCACTCAACCTTGGATCCATTTGAATAATCCATGAATCCCGTGTTGAACATTGGGAGACGTGATGTCAGGTGCGTTTCGAAAGCAATAGCACCGAGGACAAGAGCAATGCCTCTGTCTGTTCGGAGAGATCCGACATTGCATCAGAAAGGTTGCTGACTTGCTCAGACGCTTACACATGCGACTCATTGATCACATTGTCGATTTTGCTGATTTTGTGTGTGTGAGTTGCTCTTGCTTTGCTGTACTGTTGCTTTTCATTTTGTGCTGGTTTCTTTGAAGCATTTTTTTGCCGGGCGTCTTTATGATTGTTTAAGTTGTTTTTAGTGGTTTTGCATTGTCATTGCTGTTGTTTTGCTTGGTTTGCAGGATCCGTGACCCCCTGACTGGAGCTGTGCTGCGTGCCTCTGGTAAGAAGGATAGCCGTAACGAGGATCGCGACGCGCTCCCTGGCGAATATAGTTTCTTCCTTGGGCCCAGGCCCACAACAAATCAGTGTGAACACATGCAGGTGCTGTCTCACCTGCATATTGTCATGATTCTCAAGCTCGGTGGATAACAATTATATATGTGATATTATGTTACGCTTGCTTTGCTGTGTGCAGTTCTATTTCGTGAATTGGGGTGCCAGGGACTTGTGGATTTTGTTGAGGATAAAATGAGCTGCTCTGGAGAGGTTTTGTGGGGTTTGCTTCTGAATCGCTGCTCAAGTCCTGAATCTCAGGAATCCTCTCAACGACTCCATCCCAGGTGAGGTGGTCCGTCGAAACGCACCGGTGCAGCATTGGTCCAGGGAAGGTGTGAGGAGGAGGTCTTTGCTTTTGGATTTGTCAGTGCAGAATGCCGAAGTGGATATTGGGAGATTCACTCCATTGGACACGTTTCATCTCCACCGGATGCCGAGGAAAAGTCCCAGAAGTCAGGGCCAAGCACAAAAGCCTTGGCTGAGACGGACATCGCAGCAGTCTTGGCCAAAGGCTCCGGAACACGGGAAAAGCTCCTTGACTGCAATGCATGTGGCACTGTGGCGGCCCTGGTGTTTTCATGCAGGCAAGGAACAAATGAGCACTGTCTAGAGTCTAGACGGTCTAGACAAGTCAATGCAGGAGCAAGAGTGTTTCAATTGGCGGATTCATTTTTCCAAGTGGAGAGCCATGAGACGCCTGTAAGTAATAACGGGATCGGGCTTGGGGGAAGTCCGGGGAAGTCAACGGAAGTATGAGATCACAGACTTTTGCTGATGTCAGTAGTTCATGTTGGAGGAGTGTTGGAGGCTGCCTGAATGTAAGACCGAGGTGGCTTAAGAAGGCTCTGCAGCAAGTGCACGATGGTGAACTCCAAGCTGTAGACATCTACAACATATTGAAGGTGCAGACCCTGAAATGTCGCCGTTGGTTGGGTTTTGTCACGGTTTGTTCGATTTGCACTTTCTGGAGCTGCTCTCCGGCTTTTGCCTGGAGGTCCCTGACTTTGCCTCGGATCTCAAGGACAAAACTGGGCGTAGCATGTACAAGTTCTTAATGTCGCTTAGCCGCAGTTACAGGGCAAGCTGTGCATGGCTTCGCACGGTGTGACTGGCGAGCTGTGATTTGACAGAAGTCTTGGCCGTACAAGAAACCACGCAAGGAGCCACTCTTGCTTTAGCTGAGGCAGCGGGTCCAGGTCCGATCGTTTTGATGCCTATATTATTGGAATGTTCACTGCATTCTTCATGTCAGCCATTCTCGGCCCACTTTGATGTTTCTTCAGCTCAACTCATCTTGGTCACGTTTCATGCCGGCTCGCTTGGTATTGGTTCAACGGTTCTATGGCACTCAACAAGGTGCGCAAGTGAGCTTTCTTTGCCAAGCTCAGCTCATCCCATCCCAGCTACACTCAGCTCACCTCAGTTCATCTCATTTTTCCCCTCCCTTGTGCGACATGCCAAATCCATTGCATGCGCGTGAAGGGCAAGTTTGAGTTCCTTGCACTTGGCTGTACAATGCCACTTGCCAGGTGTGGGTTCGAATAGCTGCAGCTAGATGCCATTTGCATACTACTCGCCTCTTAAATCCTTGTACTGTAAACAAATTAAACGGAAGTCGTCAAACGGTGGTGGCAACTATTGTAAACGGAGACTTGGCCAGCTTTGCATTTGTGCAACTTTCGCCTGGCATTTTGTTGCAACTGGTTGAGGGCATTTTGGCTGCGACTGTGACTGTCCATCACTGAAATGCACTCAATCTCTGAAAGGTTTGGTTTGAGTTTCATTGGCGCGCTCAGGTCGAGAATCTCTGTGTTCTCCAAGGGGTGACCTTGGACGCATTGAAGATGTTGAAGCCTTCCCAGCCAAGATCCATGTGTTTGAGTTGCCGAATCGCTTAGAGCTGGAACGCCTTGCTAGCATGTGTGGCACCAGAGCTCATTGCACATCACCACGGGTTGCTGTTCAAGCAGTTTATTTACTGTATAGCGCACGCACCTTGTCCTGGCCCTGGCTAGAGTACGAGTTTAGGCAGCAGCGATTCCTCGCAAAAGAATGCAGCCTTGCACAAATGTTTGGCGGAGAAGGACAGCGGCTTTGTTCATTTCCAGTGCAGTGTGGGTCCTTTCCAGCGTGGACATGTTTAAGCTCCAGGCTCCAGTGGCACCATGTACTGATGTGTATTGGTGGTCTTTCAGTTATATATTTGTTTATCAAATTCAATATTTGCAGGAGGCCCATCCCTTGTCAATGACGACAACTCCAAGGCCAACCCAGAAGCTGCCGAGGAGATGATGGCCCCCTCGACTACAAGGGACTTCTGTTGGCGATGGTGTTCTTGAGTCGTTTTGAGCCTGACCAACCAGTGCAATTCTTGAGCGAAATTGCAAACACACATAGACAAACACACGCGCACACACTCTGACATTGGTTTTCAGTTACACTCAGTTCCCAAGCTGAGAAGGAAGGTGAGAGAACGGAAAGGTGGCAGAGTCCGCGGAAAAGTATTGTTTAACATTGTTCACCAGTGCACTTTAGTTAACTACGATTACTGCAATTTAGACCTTGACTGAAAAAGAAGTGCTGAGTCCGTCGAACAGTATTGTTGAAAAACGTCGAGTTAAACAATTGAAAGGCAGGTACGTCAGTGCTGGCCGGGCACTGATATCACATCCACTTGGTGCGGTCTTTGTTAGATGAGGCACACCAAGGGATCCTCATCCCCCTGCTTTAAATTAAATTGAACCCTTGGAAACAGGGTTTGGCACACACACGGTGCCGCTTCGCGGCGCACATGTGAAAGACCTGAATAGTCACCTAAAAAGCCTTAGAAACAAAAGAAAAGAAAGACAGAAAGAGCAGCGCTAAGAGGGCAAGAAAGAAAGGTAGGTGTAGAAAAGTGAATACTTAGCCCTTGACTGGGGTAGGGAAACGAGCCTCAAGAGCAACCTAAAAAGCCTGAGAGAAAGCCCAACAAACGACGAAAAGCGCAAGAAGGAAAGCGGGGGGGCAGGGAGGGGCTGTATGTCCATGTGTGTGTACATGTGTGTGTCTGAATACCTAGCACTCTAGAGTTACTGATTACTTAGCAGAGATGAATTAAGTGCGATAGCTAGGGAGCGGGACTTTAGTCTTAGACCGCCCGGGTAGGAAAGACTAGAACAGGAACAACACAGGGAAAGGCACCGACACACAAGTGTGTCGAGTACCATTTCCCTATGTTGCCCTAATTAGGTGGGGAGTAGAACTCGGCTGGGGGGGGGTTGGGAAACCTGCCTGACTGCACGACTGCAAGGGGAGTACCGTTTTATAGCCCGGCGGCTGTGGTGGTTCAACTTTTTTTTGGCCCAGCGGCCGTTGTGGCAGTTAATTCGTTGGAAGTGGAGGTGAATTCCAGTGAAGTTCCGGTGAGCGGTAGGGAGTTCCGTTAAAGATTTCCCAATGAAACAGCGCCCCAGTGACGGGGATCACACTCAGCACCCGAGTGGGACGGCTGAGCGAAACGCACTCTGACATTGGTTTTCAGTTACACTCAGTTCCCAAGCTGAGAAGGAAGGTGAGAGAACGGAAAGGTGGCAGAGTCCGCGGAAAAGTATTGTTTAACATTGTTCACCAGTGCACTTTAGTTAACTACACTGCAATTTTTAGACCTTGACTGAAAAAGAAGTGCTGAGTCCGTCGAACAGTATTGTTGAAAAACGTCGGGTTAAACAATTGAAAGGCAGGTACGTCAGTGCTGGCCGGGCACTGATATCACATCCACTTGGTGCGGTCTTTGTTAGATGAGGCACACCAAGAGATCCTCATCCCCCTGCTTTAAATTAAATTGAACCCTTGGAAACAGGGTTTGGCACACACACACACACACACTTGTTCCGATGAGTAGAACCCAGGAATAGTCCCAGGAATATTCAACTGCATACTTGGATGTTGTCATGCAACATTCACAATCGAGAAGGCAACAACCTGCATTCATACACAGTAAATCGCGTCAAGCCACAATTGTGTGACATGTCATCAAAGCTGCAACGTAAGTCCAGCGGACAAGATAGGATTCGTTTATGTTCATGGGTGTTGTGGACAGATGCGGCCGGAAGTCAACAGAGCCGGCAATTGAAACATGATGCCTACACATGCATACACTTCGCTATTGTTTTATCAATTAGCTCTTGTTTGTTCTCGTTCGGATATCAAGTGCGCAGCCTGCAACTGGGCGCTTTGACCTTTCGACAATTTGTCCGCAGCATCACAAAATCACAAGAAACTCGCGACATTGAACACAAGTATCGTGTGGCTAGCATGTAGCATTAGCTTGGATAAAGCCTGCAAGTACCTTTTGCCGGCCACAAAAGATACTTTTTGTCGAAGGGGAATCGGATAGGTTTGAATAATCAACACAGAGAAGACCTCCTGTGTACACTTGTGTTGCCATGTGCTTGGGGTTTGCCAATCACACTTGCACCCATATGTCCACAGGTTGATACGTGCTATTTAGGAATCATGTCATTACACAGTATACGCATTGCAAAACATTGACAGCATGTTGAGCAGCTTTAGCACAAGACACACTTTTTCATATCAGAAAGGGTGTTCTAGTCTCATAGTGATTGACTTTCTTTGTAGCTCATCAGTTGCCAATTGCCATTCCCCTACACTTGCCCAACACTGAACCAAATTCAGGATAGCAGATATAGTTTAGATATATTTAGATTAAACTAATTGCATTATTTATATATATAGCTGTATTATGAACTGAAACTATTTTGTGGTGCTTTCCTTCCTAAGAACATCCTGAAATCCTCTCAAAAGAATGCCGATCAGCCAGCGTATGCCATGGATACAGACTAGTTTTGACCTGGTCTACAAGCCTGCTGTGTTCATTCATGTGGCAGCCACCCCCCAAAAGAAGATCTGCATGTAGCCATGATTGTGTAGATAGCTATTGAATGCGTGGCATTCCCTGCTGTTTTGATTAGCATTCTTTGCCAGATGCATACCACTAGCAAGGGGGGAGACTGCATGGAAGCATCCCTAGATCGAATCAAGATACTTTATGGCACATTGAGAATCGTCCATATTGGCCATTGCGAATCCTGTTTCATGGTTTGTTCGCCAAATTTAAGGCACGAGTCCGCCAGTTTGTGCGGCAACAGCAGGGTGTGGAGCTGGACAGCGCGCATTTGCACTTTTCCGGTGATGGAAAACTAATCAGAGATTTTGTTGTAGGTTTTGCAGATTATATGTATATATATATATATTTATTTAATTTATACTTCTTTGTTTTGTCACGCTTCCTTCTTCAACCCCTATCTCACTTCGGGCCCACTAAGAAGGTACATATCACAGGCTGGTCCGAGATTACGACGAGTGATCTAGAAGACCCGAACTGCGCTGCCGCCTCACGAAAGCACCGAGTTATTGAACCATGTGATTTAGATGGGAACCTTTTGTTAACAACAATTTGTTCCGACTAAAAGGAAATGGGCAGGCTTTGACCTGGCAGGACCAAGCCGTGGCAGGCGCTGTGGCTGGTGTTGTGCCTCCTCCACCCCCGCAACTTGGACCTGGTCAATCATACTCGGTCTCGGGTGTCACACGTCCAAATTACAGTATCACAAGCCATGAATCAAAGGGCTTTGAACCCTGTGTGTTGCAAATGCATGCATATGAAAATGGGTTGCCACAAAGACCCGCGAATCCCGAGATGTACATTTCAGCAGTTGAGTTTTTTTTGTTTTTGTCAAGAGAGCATTCCATTAAATTCCCAAGGGTAGCAAGAGTGAGTGCCTCAGTATGCTGGTGCAATTGGTTGGTTTCAGTCCATGGTGGTCAGATTTGCCTTTGGATGCAAGCAAGTTGGAAACCCCAGAACAAAGCCACTGCAAATAGATTTGCACCAAAGTCTGAATTGTGCCGGTCCTTCTTCTTTGACGAAAAGATGCACTGTGCTCCCCCGTTCGAGTCCAATCCAAGGCAACTCTTACCGTCTTACACATATTGAGGAAAATGCCCTCGTCCTCCATATTTCTTTGCCGGGGAGAGCCTTCGAGAAAAGTAGTAGTCATCCATCTCCATGAGATGGCATGGTGGCGATCATGGCGATCGGTGTCCCAGGCCTGCCAGTGTACCTCCAGTCCCTCCACCAGTAGTGCGACAAGACGTGTCAGCTGTGGCGAACATCATCGCCAGGCTGCGACATGGCCGTGGATGGCAATTTTGTGCAGGGTTAAATTTTGGGGCACAAGTGTGGCTTGCCTTGACTTGATCACATTTTTCATGCCAGGGCATCCAACACTGCTGCAGCCTGGCAACAGGGCCCCTGCTTGCTGGGCAAGTTGGATGGGAGCTTGCTCCTCTGGAAATGGCTTTGTGGGCCATGGTTTGGAATGTAGTGGTGCTGAGTGTTTAGTTAAAGTTAAAGGGTCCTTGCCTAGTATTCTGTCATGAGTGTTTGCCTGTACGTCCTTCAATTGATCAACTGAGAAGCCCTGTGGGAGAGAAATTGAAGAATCTGGAAGTTTCAGCACCTACTCAAGGATTCATAATTTATATAAGCCATACACCTTGACTGAAAGCTAGCAGATCAACCGTGTCATGCGTCAAGACTCCCGTCAAGACCTGTTCGGCTCTTGAGAGGTTTGTGCCCATGCCCGCGCTTTGTTTGTGCGCTTCCGCCACTCTTCCACTGCATGTAGATAGATAGATAGATAGATAGATAGACAAATAATGACAAATAGATAGATAGACAGATAGATAGTCAGATAGATAGATCTTTCCTCGCATTGTCCACTGCCCAGTTTAGATCTTCCAATGCCTTGATTACATAGGTCCATTGCACCCTGGGGTTCGACAGGATTTAGGATTGCGATTGAAGGTGTCCGTAACGAGCCTCACACTTTGTTGTGCAGCAGTGCCCATCAGCACCCTTGCTATTGTTTTGGAGCCTCACGACCTGTTCATGTAGCCAGTTCTCCGACCCTTTGCCCTTTTGATGCCAACTGTACCTGAAAAATCTCAGGTACACTACCAAGCGGCAAAGGCTGCCTATGTGCCTCCACTTGAGTCAGCACATGCTGAAGCTCCAGTTGAGGCCTTGAGTGAGATGGATTTGAGGTCTTGGGCATTCTTGGGCCTATCCAACGAGGTCCAACAGCACTGCTTTTCAAGTCAAGAGCCCCCACAAGAACACATTTGTCACTTGGGGCGTTTGATGCTTCATAATGGAGATGATACACAGAAGCAGGATGGATTTAGCATCCTTCCCATGCAAGTGCTCTTGATAGGGAAGGACAGAGGAAGAAAGAAGACAAAGAGAGCCATCAAGCTCACCTTCCAGAAGGAAATCTAAAAAGCTGCTTGGCAGTGATGAAGCGAGCAAGTTGCGTTTATATAGCTTGGCCCAAGATGGGGAACAGCGGTTGGCTACAGTCAAAACATGCGAAGACCTTTTTAGTAAAGAGAGGTAGGTTTGTGCACAAAAACCAGCAAAACGATAAGGTCCACCTCAAAACCGACATCCGATAACGCCAGCGCTGTATATGATTATAAGTATGCGGCGAACTCAAAACACTGTAAACTTGATAAGGTCCAATTCAAAACCGATGACGCCCTCATATAATATATACAATATATATATATATGATATATATATATTACTGATTTTTGGAGGGGCATTTCATTCATTATATCCAACCATGGTGGCTGTGGCTGTGGCTGTGTGCTTAAGACTCGTAGTATTATTCAAAGATGTACAACATCATAACCAATTGTCATACTGTAGATGTGTCACCTCGACCATCCACGCTGCCTGTATCATGCCGCTGGCAAAAAAAACCATCCAATGCTCATCTCCCGACCGATCCAGGAAGAAGCACCGATCTCCCTCCGGATCGCCGAAGGCCCGGAACTGCTCCCGCTCAAGGCCGGGGACTCTGCTCCGTCGGTCACGAGCACGGTCGGGAGCGAAGGTACTACGCCTAGCCTGGCAAATCCAAAGCCTGCCCCATGCGGTTCCTCAACAAAAACATACAACTGTGGTTGTTTGTGGTAGCCAGGTGTGGGCATCAGCTAGATTTTTAAAATTATGCCTTTGCATGCTGGCTGTTGCTCTCGAAAGTGTCCTGCTACTCTCCAGGGACCGGCGGAGACGGTGACGCAATGCCCAGGCAGGATAGACCGTGGCCAGACCGTTGGATACAGTGAAGTGCATAGAGATGTCTCACACATGTTGCACAACTGACAGCCTGTTTGCCCTTTTCATGTGCAGTTTGAAACTGCAAACTTTTGGCAAGTGTTCTGACTCATATTTGATGTGTGCGGGCATCCAGCTGTGCATTGGTGCGTGTAGCAGGGTGTTTACGTTTGCAAAGGGCCACCAGCGGAAGTGTTCCGTCACGATCATAGAAGGTCCACGCAAAGATAGCAACATTAGACATGCGGCATCACCGGACCATACATGGCAGGTGGGGCGGAATAGAGAATGAGAAGGATATCAGGGATAGTGCTTTAGGCAGCTTCGTTGCTTCCAAGGTGCTTCGTGCTTCGATGGTCCTTGTGTTGCGCTTCACGCGGTCCAAGTGCATCACAATCGGAGGTCCACTTGAGCAAGTGAGCATGGAAGCCAACACAGTCAGAGGCACGCCATGGCACGCCCTGCGCTCAAAAAATATAGCAGAACCAGTCCCGACCATACCGGTGACTTGTTAGCCACGTTTAGTCGTCCCGGTCAAAGTTGTTTTTCAACAGCATGCCCTTCAAAGACAGCACCGCTTACTCGACCACAAGATCATGAGATTCTGATCATGACCGTTGACCTCTACAGTCGAATCGCAAGGATCAAAGACTGGGACTTGCAGGATCGCAAAAAGATTGCGGCCGTTTGATGATGATTGGGTCAAATGATGTCGAGTCTGACTCCACACACCGCTCCAGAAGGGATTCGGAGAAGGCGTCCAGACCCTGTTTGGATGGAATGTGATCAACAAATGACATCATTGTCCTTTGTTGGGAAGTGAACTCGGAATTGTTAGCTTGGAGAGTGTAGCAAGAACGTGTGACTTGGGCCGGGCTTGCTGTAGATCATTTCGATTTTGTTGAGAGCTGGGAAGTTCCCAGACGCCATCCGCCGTGAGTCCCAAGGTTGGCAGCACTGATAATCTTGGTGTGGCACTGGCGGGCTGCCAGAACCTCAATGCTAGATTACTCTTGAACGGAGAGGGAGAGAGAGAGAGAGAGAAGTTGGAGTAAATATGATAGAGATGAGACAGAGAGATGATACATATACATATATTTGTAGTCTACAAGATGATGGGAAATTCACATGCTAGATGTGTTTGTTGCAAAGAACATTTAGAACCATATATATATATACAGTATATATATACTTTTTTACTAAGGCGCCAACTGCACACATCATATGGGCAGAGTTTCTGGTAGAGGTGGTTCCATGAGGACAGCAGGAAAGAGCTAATTCTGGCCAAGCGCAGAATTGGCTTTCTCCAAGGTGCGGTGTACAGTTGTGCTGAGGTCGTGTTATGCGAGCCCTCTACAACCAGCCTGATCTCAAACTCCGGTACTTGATCCGAAGCAGCTGGCCAAGACCGACAAATTGGTGAAGAGGATTGCTTGTGCTTCTCTCTATGTGTTTGTCCCTCTCTCTCTCTCTCCCAATAGCTCTCCATTCGCTTTGCTTTGGATTGTGGTGACTTCCATTGAACTTGTAAATCCTAAATTAAAGGAGCCCAAAGGGTTCAGTCCATCCACGAGCCGAAACAGCTGATTGGTGCTGATCTTACGAACTGATCCGAAGGCATCACTTGCACAGTATGTCCTGGAAGGACTCAGTTCTCCATTCCCCATCAAACACCATCACTAGCCCGACAATTTCAGGGGCAACATGAATTGCAAGGCCATGGCGCGAGCCGTTGGGCACAGCGGCTCTCCAGCGGAGACATCGCACAGTCAGGGCCCTCAGGAGTCACACGGAGTGGGGTCCAATTTCTCGATGTTCACTTCAAACTCCAACAGCCCATCTCAAACCTTGAAGGCGTTTTGATGAGCAAAGTGTATATGGGTGTGTGTATGAGGGTGCCAGTGTTCCCGCGTGAATGGAGCAATTGGAGAAGTTCTTTGTCTGACCGGTGGAGATTAGACACTAGCAGGGAGTTGTTGATGCGTTGTGTGCCCACGGGCGCTGATTGTGAAGATGGAATTAAGGTGCGGCATCTACAGGCAAACACACAATGATAAAGTCACTGTGGAGGAGTTGAGCCTGAAGCTTGGAAAACTAGATGCAGCTGCGCGGCTTTTGTTGATGCAGTTGATGCTTACCAGCCACTGAGCCCCGAAATGAAGCTTTCAGCTTGCAGGTGTTTCGCAGAAAATATTCCAACTCGTCAACGAAGCTGGCATTGGTATTTGGATGCAGTTCCTCATTTCCTGCTTTGGCGATGATAGACATTCAATGTTACAAAGGCATCTCACAAGGTGAGCGCACCATAACTGAGTGCAACGCCCCTTGAACAAACTTGTGTGTATATTTGCAGAATTCAGCGCAGTATCAGTCCCCGTTCAAAATGACAAGCAGCTGGTAATTGCAGCCCTTGGGCATCTCACCTTTCGCAATCTCAACCAAATGTGCTACATGACACTGTAGGGGAGTGTCCCATGACGGGGCAGTCCCAACAGTATCCAACAATTATATAAGTTACGTTGATGCTTTGACATTCCCAGGTCACGCATGTGCAAACTAGAAGTCAAATATTTATTCAAAAATGCAGACAAGTTATTCCTGTAGATAAGCTCCCCACAACTCTCATTCCGGGGCGGTCAGTCAGTCCTTTACTCGTTCGAATCTAAGGTAAGGAAGCTCAGCTCTTGGCCGATGAGTTGAAGGAAGTGCGAGAAGGCGAGGAGATTTGTTTGGACCCCCAGGAGCGGAGGAACAGTTCCCAAAAAGCCATGAGTGAGTTCGGTTCAAAAGAAGCGGTTCAAAGCAGCCAAGAAAACCTTGCATGCCAGGTGAGTCCATTGAACTTGACTCCGAGTGGCGCAGCAACCAGAGACTTTGCAGTGAAGAGAGTGTTCAACTGAAGCCAACCGGCTAGCCTGCTTGCTTTCTTGCTCGCCCAATCATACCATGGCTAAAGCATAGAATTGTGGTAGAGTAAGATGATGGCCACAATGCAAGCTTCACATTAACATTATGCCTAGGAAGCTGGTTGAAGTGGCGTGCATCCCAGACTGATTGCTTGAGATAGGGTCGCCAGTGCCTGCCTAAAGTTGTTTTAAATTGTGTGGCGGGGAGCGGTCAATCGAAATCATTCGATCACTGATCACAAATCGTGGAGTCGTAGAACATGCCAAAGAACCGAGTGATGAAGTTCACAGTGTGAAGCAGTGCGCATCCGGCCAAGGGAAGCATCCGCTCATATTCCACTAGTTGCAGGGTGCTTCAATTATCGGAGGAGCACACGAGTTTTTATGAACGGTTCCTGATGACATTGGGCCGAATGAAGGTGGAGGCCTTGCGTGCTGCTGGTGACGATGTGCCAGGCCGTGAGGAAGCCAAGAAAGGCTGTTGGAACAAGGGGCGGTTGCGGTGGTGGAAAGTAACAAGCGGCTCAAATCGTGCCTCTTGGACATCTCAAAAGCATTGCTTTGCGTTTGCTTGTTTACACAGCTGCGTAATCGATGTAGGGCGCTAGTGGTCAGTGCACTTTATTTATGTCCCAAGGAAAAGCCGCATATTCAGACAGACTCTACGGACTCTACGTCAAATCTTCCCCTTTTGATAATGGTAAATCTTTCTCAGTGCTCTCCTCAAAACCTCTATATTTAAATCGTGTACGGCACCATCCCTGAGTGAGATTTTGAGAAAAGGCTTGGCGCCTGCTGATGGCCTTTTTGCTTTGAGGGAGCTGTTGAAAAAGCCGTGGCCCTAGTTGACTGGAACTGTATGTTGCTCAGCGTATGACTGTGCACTGTGCACAATATATTTGCCCCTGAAAAATATTGAGCAGAAAGTCCAAACATATTCTTCACTCACTTTTCTTGAAGGACCCAAAATGGTCCAAGTCTAAAGGTTTTCCACAACGAGAGTTCACAACATGTTGCACATAAAAAAAATAAAAAACGTGGATCGAACTTGCTCAAGCTAAAAGTGCCATCCAAGAACGTGTGTTGATGGTCTCTCCGTCTCTCCACATTTGTTGGGAGCCTGTGAAAGGATATGCAGGTTGCAGGAATCAAATTTGCTGCGATACCCTTAGGACTGAGAAGGGTGGGATGGAAGACGAGCGGTGCGCTGCTTTCGAGCTTGAGAAGGCATGCAGATTTTCCCCTGAATCGGTTGGTCAATATTTTCAACGTTTGTGTATACGTGCCGGCGAAAGTACATGAAAGTACCATTAGGCCATTAGGCCTGTGATATAGGCCGTTCAGCTGCAAGCTCCGAGAAGAGGGTGGCACGGTTTGTGGGGCACAGGATTTAGCGAGATCCGCTTCTGCCAGATGCATCCAGAAGTTTACAGAATTGTCCCAATTATATAGGGGGCTAAATTGCAAGTCAATCCAAATCAGATGATAAAACGGACTCAAGGCTCATTGTGGAACAGCACTTCGATTGCTTGATTGGAGGCAGATGTACCGGGACATGTGCTCCAATACTTGAAGATGGAACCGTTGACCTCCAAAGAGCAAGACCCTCAGAGCGAAACGACGGTGAGACACTGGCCGTTGAGCCGCATATGGAAGAAGGCTTGGAATTTGGCCTCGTTGCTTGCCGACAATTCACACATTGCAGCCATATTGCTTGAGATGTGACAATGCAAAAAACCACTCTTGGAAAACATGAAACATATGTTGTTTGTCCTCAGGGCCCTCAGGGCTGTGAATTATGTGCAGCACTTGCATCAGGGATCATCATGCTACTTACTTTTTGCGCCACCCCATTAACCATGAAAACGGACGGGGGTGGACCCAAAATGTAATTTACATTTTGACCCCCCCACCCCAAAAAGCATGTAACTTACATGTTTCCACATATTTTCGAACCATACCCCTGGGGGGGGTTGCAGGAAAAATGAACTTGATATGTGGGGACGTTCTAAGTTGCATTTTTGGAAGACCCTTTGTGATGAGAGGGGGTCAACAA